ACAGTGGTTGGATGACCTCCAGGAAGATATCTTGAGTGGGGTCAGCATATCCACACTTTTGGATTTCTTGAATAAATTCAGGTTGGCAATAGATATTTCATCTGATGCTTTATTGATCTGGTTCGCTTACTCTCAAGAAGCATGGTTTTCTCTGTAGCATCAAGAAGTGCTGTCTGGCTAAGCAATTGGGTGGCAGATTATTCATCGAAGATTAGCCCATGTGCTTTTCCATTTCAAAGGGATATGCTCTTTGGGAAACCTCTAGATCAGGGGTTTCCAATTCAGTCCTCAAGTACCCTCTAACAGTCCAGGATTTAGGGAGTATCCTGTTGTGTCTAAAGTTTTTAATTTTTTCCAATCTAAAAACATCTTAGTCACAGCTGGGTAATCCCTAAATCCTAGACTGTTTGGGGGTACCTGTCGATTGGGGTTGGAACCACTGATTGTATAAAGAGAGCAGTAGAAGGATGTAAAGCCTTTGTTCCTCAAGATAGACATCCCAAGTGGTCTTTTCCTCAGGATAGACGGTCCTCTTAAGACAAATATTACAGGTGTTAAAGACCTTGTAGAAAATTCTCCAGAGCACAGATATAGAAGGGAGGTATCTCCTCTAAAAGAGGTAATAATGGCAGAGAAGGATCATCCAGACAATCTAAACAATTCTGATGGTGCTACAGTGTAGTCCTTGGGGGTAGGAGCAAGGCTTCTAAATTTCCCCAAGGTCTGGGCTCAGTTCATCACAGACAAGTGGGTTTTGAAAATTCTTCAAAATGGATATGTTCTGGAATTTGCAACTATTCCTCATCTGCTATACCTTCCAACCCGGATTCCTCAAGACCCAGAGAAGGCAAGAGTTCTCCACCTATTTACTACCTCGCTCCTAGCAGAAAGAGTAATCTGCCTGGTTCCTACAGGAGAAAGAGGACAATGGTATTATTCAAGACTGTTTATGACTTCATAAACATCAGGAGCATGGAGGCCTATCTTAGATCTTTACAAGCGCGTATTTGTTCAAGATTCAAGATGGAGTCAATCAGTTATATGATAAAAGCCATCTCTCCAGGGTACTTCATGGTTTCCGTAGATCTCTGCAATGCTTACTTTCATGACTCTATTGTCCTCATGACTCGATTGTTTCTCAGGTTTTCAGTGCAACATCAGCGTTTCCAGTTCTGGGTTCTTCCCTTTGGCCTCAGCACTGCTCCCAGAATCTTTGAAAATCCTGATATCCCTTAATGCATACATTCAGCTGGAAGGCATTTCCATCTACCATTATCTGGACGATATTCTATTTCGGTGCATCATCAACTTCAAGAAGAGTCATCTTTCCTCATTTTTGGTGATGATCTAGCTAGGTGTGAAGTCTGATATGTACATATCTATAGTGTCCCTATCTCTGGGGTCAAAGAATCCAACAGAAAATGCTCTGTTTTATCTATCTCAAGTCAGTCCCAGTCAGAGAGTTCATGAGCATTCTGGGGAGTCTATATGGCTTACAAGATTGGTGCAGTGGCAAATGAGGATACCTAAAATGGAGTACCTGTCACATTTCACAAATGAAGATCTGAACCAAAAGATTATTATATCTTCCAAGATCAAGAAAGATCTATCTTGGTGGCTGGAAGATTTGAATCTCTTTTTGGGATTTCAACTGGGTATCATTCAATGGTTGACAATACCAAAGGATTCCTGTCAGTCCGGTTGGTGAGCACACCTGAGTTCTCATCACATCCAGGGCTGATGGAATCACAGACCACTTCATCATTCCTCCAATGTTCTCCCCTCTCTGAAAAATTAGTGGGTCAAAGTGAGAGTAGACAACACTTCAGTTGTTGCTTACCGCAACTATCAGGCGTAACAAGAAGCAAGCATCTGATTAATGTTCTTTCCCCTTCTCATAGGCAGAGAAGAACTTGGAAGGTTTGAAGGCAGTGTATCTTTTGGACAAAGTAAATGACCTGGCAGACTTTGTGAGCAGAGTGACTTTGGATCCAACAGAGTGGTCTCTCTCCTCTCAGGCATTCCAGCACATTGTCTGGCATTGGGGCCTTCCTCAAGTAGACCCCAATGCCAGACAATGTGGCAACATGCCAGAACAAGGTGGCAAGATTCTTCTTGTGCTTCTTTGTCCCTTTGGTAGAAGCCAGTGTCTTGCGAGTGGAGGTTAAATCTGGGGTGTGTGTCAGGTCTCCTGGCTCCGCACCGCTCGCGGCGACCTTGCTTACCTCATCACAGCAAGCGTCGTTGTCTGCTCCCTGTCACCAGACAGGCAGTGTGTCTGATGCTGCACGCTCCAGAGCAGCTTCCTTATATGTGTGCTGCACCCGGTCATGTGACCCGGCACACAGTGATGACCTCAGAGACCACAAGGGAGGGAAGAAACTTCTCCCATGTGTTGTGAATAACACTAATTGGAGATTAGCCAATCAGACACATCCTGTGTGTATATAAGCTAACCTCTCCTGTGCCTCAGTGCCCTGTTGTGGTCTTTGGTTTACCATTGAGCATTGCACTTGTTATTTGGATTTTCTGGTTACTGATATTTGGCTTTGTCTCTCGTTATTCCATCTCTCTGTTTCCCTTGACCTCGGCTCATGTTTTGACTATCCCTTTTTGCATGACCCAACCATTCTAAGGATCGGTAGTGCAATTCTCTGTACTCTGTCCTGTCTGCGTGTTAGGGTTCCCTAGTGAACGTTACATTTCTTCCCGTAACCTTTTTCATTTTCTCTCAGTTGAAGAGGATTCAGCAAGAACAAGTTGTCATCCTAGCAGGTATTCCACATAGGCCCAGATGCCTATGGTTTCCCCTATGGCAGAAACTATCTCGGGAACCTCCATTAGTTCTCTCAAGCTATAACCTATTATTACATCAATGTTTCAGTGTTTCATCCTGCACCGCAGTTCTTGAGATTGATGGCATGGAGATTAAGATGCAGCGTCTCTTAGACAAAGGTTTTTCTGTCTCAGTCACTACTTTGCTTAGAGCAAGAAAGAAATCTACCTGTTCAGCCTACTATTGTATATGGGGTATTTTCTGACTGATGTGTCCTTCATGATGTTGCTCCTCAATCCCGAGCATTAGCAACCTTCTTCAGTTTGCCCAGGATGCATTTGACAAGGGACTAAGTCTTAGTTCTCTAGGAGTCCAGATATTTGCTCTCTCCATTCTGTTGTGTAGAAAACTTGTCTTTGATCCCAACATTACCAGGTTTAGCAGGATTGAAACTTGCTCTCCTCCCTGGAACTTACCCATAGTGCTTCAGGCCTTATCTGGCTCTCTCAAAAACCCTTGGCAGACATTCCATTGACTGCTTTAACTTTGAAATCTGTTATTTTGGTGGTCCTTACTTCAGGTAGAAGTATTTGCCAACTTTAAGCTCTTTCTTGTGAATCTCCATTTTTGAACTTGCAAGAAGACAGGGCCATATTACTAACTGTACCAGCGTTCCATCCTAAAGTGTAATCTTTATTCCATGTCAATTAAGACATTATTCTACCGACATTTTTTCCCCATAGTTCATCGGAAGAAAATGAAAAGTGGCATTGTCTTGATCTGGTTCACTGTTTATCAACCTTCTTGGACCAAGCCTCTTAAATAAAATAAAAAAACATCCTGTCTTTTTTCGTGATTCTATCCAGACACAAGTCAGGTAAGGTTGCTTCTACATCTTCAATTGGTCGATGAATTGTCACAGCCATTTCCCAGGCTTATCAGTCTTGTGGAGTTCCAGTCCCATGGGGTCTCCGTGCTAACTCCACAGGATATTTGGCTTCTTCATGGACATCTGCAGCCAATGTCTTTTCTGACTGCATCTGTCTGCAGCAACTTAAATATCCCTTAACACCTTTATACATCATTACAGGTTGGATGTAGCCAGATCTGCTCAGTAGTGCTGCCATGAAAACAGAAAATGTATTCTATACTCGCCCCTAACTTTGTTTTCATGTTTGTGGTTTTGGACTAAGACTGAGGATGTAGGGGATGGAGTATTTATTATTGTTTAATTAGGAGGTGTTCCTGTCCAATTTAGGTGTGGGAGGAGCTATACCTGTGTAGTGCCGCCATGGCCTGTATCCGGGAATAGTTGATATCGGTAAGTATGGAATAAAATTTCTGTTTTATAACGTAGCTATAAAAATAGTCAAATTATTATAGTAAATTGAGGTAATTGTAACCAGTATTGCAAAATTCAGACTAAAATAGCCAGGTGGTGATTATAGCTTGTAGAATTGTTCATTTCATTACAATTCTCAATGCAATTCAGATAATTTTTTCAAGTAACCAAATAAACACAGATTCTGCCTCATGATTTAGAAGTTAGTGAACAGTGTCTAGTTACAGTGCTTTGTGGTTTTAATTTTTTTGCTAAGGAAACACAATGAAGAATTTGTGCTATTATGGAAACAGCATGCTACTAAGTATAGCTATATAGTGAGCTATATTACAGGAATATGTGGCATTTTCTGATCGTTTACAAGCACAGCCTCCTACATTAAAATATATATATATATATATATATATATATATATATATATATATATATATATATATATATATATATATATATATATATATATATATATATATACAGCTCTTTATACTTTAAGTGTTAATAAAGTTTGTAAAAAAAAAAAAAATAAGAATTCCCTGTCTGCCCATACCTATCATGGCTGCCTCTTCCCACTAACAGTAAGCGATTGGGTCTCTGAAAGCCCACTGCGAATAGCACTCTCCGGGGTCCTCTCAGCCTAGTCGCTCGCATTACGCTGCCCCAATATATGCCCGTTTCTTTCCCCTGACAGCATGTATTCACTCTACACGTACCCTTTAATTTATTTACAATACAATACGTTTGTAGAACTCGTACACCAGCACAGCGCTGATCCCTGGGGCGTGGCTTCTTATCGGGGTTGCAGTCTGTATCAGGCATCGCTATAGCCACCTATCAGAGGAGGTGCTGTGACTGTAGTTGGAGGAGGCCTTTTCACACCCCGGTCTCAGCCAGCCCGGCTGTCTATAGGTCCTTAGTCTCCCTTGTACTGCGCTGGATGGGAGAGCCGGCCGGTGGCCTCATGTTTGGCTTTTACCTCTGACCCTGTGCAGTTCCCTGGAGGCTGGATACGGAGGGATGTCTCAGACTAACGCCGTGGACAAGATGGATAAGACCATCAAGGTAGGGGATGGCCGGGACCTGGGTTTATAGCTGTCCGGCCATGGTGCGGCTGTGTGACACCCAGGGAGACTGCTGGTTACCGGCCATTCTTTGACACGTTGTATTGTGTCAACAAAAGACATGTCTGCTGTGTGTGTGAGACAACGCATTACATTATAGCTGGGCTGGCCGACAGAAAGACAGCTAGACACTCAGCTATTGTAGTATTGCAGATCCCACAGGTATAGCTGGCAAAGCATCACGGTAGCTGTAGTTCTACAGTAAGTGGAGATCTACCATTTGGTCATTAAGACAGGTCACTGTCCAACAAATAGAAGTGTCCTAACTGCACAGTGTAAAGACACATTACTGTGAGTATTATTGCTGTGGAGCTCTGTCTTAGGCAGACTAGATGGGCCAAATGGTTCTTATCTGCCATCACATTCTATGTTTTTATGTTATACACTCAGACACATCGACAATATGGAGCTACTAGAAAAAAAGGGACAAAGGGATTTGGATCCAAAGTAGGGACTGTCCCTCTGAAATAGGGATAGTTGGGAGATATGTTCTGGCAGTTAAATCCCATGTCTGCCAGTGATGGGCACCCTTTAGCAGCTGTTGTGGGATGCTTTCCATTTAACTTCTATAGGGATAACCGAGTAGTCAACCTCCGGCACTCCAGATGTTGTGGACTACATCTCTCATGATGTTCTTACAGACCTAATGCTTGAGAAGCATCATGGGAAGTGCGGACCAAAACATCTGGAATGCCGAAAAGTTGTCTACCCCTATCTGAGGCGCTAAAGATGAGCCACTAATGCTTATCAGGCATTGTTCATGGGATAGACGAGTCACTTTAAAGGTTGCTGTCAGGTTGAGACACTTCAGGGAAGCTAAATGTTACGGCTGTTAGTGGGAGGTTGCTCAAGAGGAGCTGATTGTGCAGCAATGTGAACTGTGTTGGTTTGGTGCAGCAAGGGATGCAGGGAATGTCGATGGTCATTGTTAGTTGTGTTGTAGACTGCCTGGTGAATCTTATTGTATGCGCCTGTAAAGGCTGCTCATTAATGCTTGCTGGAGTTTATTCACGATCTGGGAAAATAATTGTTAAAGGACCACTATAGTGCCAGGAAAACATACTTGTTTTCCTGGCACTATAGTGCCCTGAGGGTGCCCCCACACTCAGGGTCCCCCTCCCGCTGGGCTGGATGGCGAGGAACGGGGATAAACTTACCTTTTTTCCAGCGCCGGGTGGGGAGCTCTCCTCCTCCGCCTCCGATCCTCCTCTTCGGCTGAATGCGCATGCGTGGCAGGAGCTGCGCGCGCATTCAGCCAGTCTCATAGGAAAGCATTTACAATGCTTTCCTATGGACGCTGGCATCTTCTCACTGTGATTTTCACAATGAGAAGCACGCAAACGCCTCTAGCGGCTGTCCATGAGACAGCCACTAGAGGCTTTAGAGGCTGGATTAACCCATTAATAAACATAGCAGTTTCTCTGAAACTATGTTTATTTAAAAAAAAGGGTTAATCCTAGAGGGACCTGGCACCCAGACCACTTCATTAAGCTGAAGTAGTCTGGGTGCCTAGAGTGGTCCTTTAAGCCACATTTAAAATATTTATCAAGTTCGTGTTTTTCCTATGTACCTACTTTGTTGTTGTAAAATTTTGCACAATCCCCAATTTAGTGAATAAACCTTTCTTAGGTGTCACTGTAGGAGTCGTGCGTTAGTAATCACTGGTTACCAATTACTGGTGAGGCAAGCTTTATTAGTGTCATCAGACAAAGCTCGTGAAGTGTTTGAAATGGTATACCGTAGTATTATGAGACTTTGAAATACATAGATTGCCACATGATTATTTTAGATCTAAGCTTTTGTTACTCTTCTCCACTGAGCACATTGAATACTGCTAAGATTCAAGATACCTGCTCCCTTATTTTTCCTTTCCTTTTCTTACAAATAAATTAATTGTAGCTTTATGTTATCTGTGATGTTTCTATTTGTGCATTTCACCTCACAGACAATTTCTTATAAATGACACTACACTTTCACTATTTACTTTCTTTTATCCTGACCAAACCCAAATGATGTGGCTTCTCCTTGACTTACAAGTTTAAACCCTTATTGTGTATTAGTTGATAACCTCTCTAGGAACCTGGGGCTCTAATTTAAATATGAGTTTTTGAGGATTGAGCATATTGCCTTTTCTGGTGAATTGTATGGAAAATCCTTGAGCATTTAAATATTGTAACATGTTTGTTTTCCTGTGTGTGTTTATTAGAACCTGCTATGACCTGTGTTTACACACGGTAGGGTTTCAGTTCTCACCTTTTTTGAGGATATGTCTTTTGCCAAGGGTATATACCTATTGTGCAAAATGTACATAGGATAACAATGAACAATAATTTACTTAACATTGAGGTGGTTTTTCTTATTTTATTGTAGTACTTAAAAATACTATGTTAATTGTTATGTGTGTTTGTACTACAGCATTAGGTTATTTTGTCTGCAAATTGATTCACTATATGGTGTTTTTTGTTCAGCTAATGATCTATAAACTGTCTTTAAAGGGTTTCTACAACTCTTTGTCACATAAAGTATTTCTAACCTCATACTGCTCTGTTGGGCACTTAAGCAATTATCCACTTTTTTGGTCGCCTTTCCATGCCTTTTTATATAATGTCACGACACACGCTTTAGGTTCAATCCATGCAAGCCTGTGATTGGACTGTTTTTGTCAGCTCAGAGTGCATGTACGCAGTCTAAGCCAGAGAGGGGAGGTAGGGAAGGAGAATAAAAAAAAAAAAAAACATTCTACAAAAAAAACCTTTTTGTAGTGGCGGGAGAGAGCTCACCGCAGATGCGAGGGAGAGGAGAATGCTCTTCATCTTGCAGGTACTCTGCTTACAAGGGAGAATATTATCATATCTGCTGCCAACTTGTTTTGCTCACTGTCAACAAATGTAAAATATGCATAGAATTGACAGAGTTCCAGGCTGCCTAAGCCATGTGCGTGCCCTGTTGTAACCGGCCCCTGGTACAAAAGTGCACATTACTCAGTTTGAAACACTGTGTATTCATACTCCTCCACCATTACCACTTCAAATCACTGAAGTGGTCATGGTGGTTGGAGTAACCCTTTAACAACCTCCCATTCTCTGACTTTATTTTTGTATTCCTCTTGTTAAAATCACCACGGTGATTCATATTTTCAGTGTATTTGCCTATATGTACACATATCCCTAAATGGCCCAGATATATCTAATTTTGACATTAAAGGGACACTCCAAGCACCTAAACAGCATACATTGCCTACATGACATCTGCTTATAAGACTGAGCATGAGATTCTAGCTATATACTTGAAAACTAGAGAAATCTTGATGTATCCTTCCTGGTAAAATATTTTATAAATAAAATATATTGTACTAGCAAATTTATAGATTAGGAAAAAAACTCTTTAAATTAGGTTTTTCTCCCAGCTGTGAGTCAATGCCTCAGCGTGCCAATGGAGAGCAGAAAACACCTCCCACATAACGCTGCGGTTGCTATGGAAACTCCCTAGCGGACACTTTTAGCACTGGCCAGGGAGTATAGGAACTCTGTTTCGATGCAAGCACACTGGCACTGCGGCTAGCATGTCGATGCCACTGACAAGATTAATCCTGCTTGGGGGAAGCGTCCCAAGCAGGGCAAAGAACAGAGGTGGAGTACAGGACGGGCCTGAGGTGGGTGTTGCACAAAGAGTAACACCCTCAAAGCATTACAGCACTGGAACAGAGGAAAAGTGAGTAAAACTTTATATTTTACATTAAATCCATCATGCATCTTTGTGATATATGGTTTATTCAAAGTTCAAGTCCTCTCAGAATGGGTTAAAATTCACCTTATTTTCAGCTCTCCACGGGTCTGCCGGCGCTGGCCCCACAACATTGGTGACATCCTCAAAATTGCCGATTTTAAGCCAATCCAATGCTTTCCCATGGGGAGACCATTGAATTGGCTAAAATCAACAAGGGGCGGGGTCAAACACTGTTTTGGCGAATCAACACCTCCTCATAGAGATGCGTTGAATCAGTGCATCTCTATGAGGAAAATTCAGCGTCTCCATGCAGAGCATGGAGCGCTGAACGGCAGGGCTGCTTAATGTGCAGCCCTGAATCAGGAAGCCACTCCAGTGGCCATCTGAGGAGTGGCCACTTGGAGGTGTCCTTAGGGGCAATGTAAACACTGCCTTTTCTCTGAAAAGGCAATGTTTACATAAAAATGGCTGAAGGGAGCTATTATATTCACCAGAACAACTACATTAAGCTGTAGCTGTTCTTGTGACTATAGTGTCCCTTTAAGTCTAGTTTTGCTTTAAAGATACACATCTTATTGAAGTTGTCATAGTGCCTTAAATATTTCCCCCCTTGTCTTGTTCTTCAGCTAAAAGTATTTTAATAGATTGAAGTCTTGAAAGCGTGGCTTCAAGCCCACTGAATAAAAGAGCCAAGACTGTTACTTCCTAGCCATATTTTGACGTCACACGCATGCGCAGTGTCAAGGCTTGTCATAGAGAATCATTGCATTCTATGATTTTCTATGACAAGTGTTTGGTGGATCGCGGCGAGTGCAGCACCTGCGCCTATGTTTCCCAATGCTCCTCTGTAAGGTGCAGTACGTATTTCTAAGATGAAATTGCACTAGAAGGAGCATGCAGTAGTGCTAAGGGAGACTCGGCACCTGAGACAAACTGATTAAAATACTTTTTTAATATTTTACACTGCAAATAGAATGAGGGCCTAAATGAGGACAGAAAGACTATATAGCCTTAGGTATACAGGATTGTATACCTAACACTATTGTGTTCCGTTAAAATATTTCCTTACAAATCTCTGAGGTGCTCTGTCTCTTCTTGTCATTGCTCTTCTGGAAAAATCTGGCCATTTTCTACTCAGATGAATCTCCTGAGCATCAGTTTTTTTTTTTTTTTTCTGTAATTATGGATATAACCTGGATAATAATGGAAAACAAAAAGCCGTGGAAAATCAGGAGTGGCATAACTTAATATTTATATATTTGAAAATTAAAATGGTCTTGTCAACTAAAACTAAACACCTTAAACTTTATTTAATCTGAATCAGGTTGTTTTTTTTTTTTGTTTTTTTTGAGTTCTCTACTTTTCATGAAATATACAAGGATAATAATAAAAAAAAAAAAAACCTCAGGAAAAGCATCAAACTCAACATCAGGTATTCCATCATTTAAGCCACAACTTTTGCAAAGGTTGAGTTTATAACCTGGGAAACCGCTATAATGATATAGGAGCAGGGATGTATTTACCACAAGGCAAACACGGCATTTGCCTAGGACGGCACTCGGGGGTTTAGCATGGCCAGCAATATCAATTAGATCTAAGGCTCTTCTCACACCAAAATAAATCTTCAAAAGTGACTTCTTTCAGATGTCTAGAGTGGAGTGGTGATGCAATCATTTAGGTGAGATTAGAATTTAAAAAACTCATTCACGATCAGGTATGTTACTGTTCTCAAACAATGTCTGCCCTTTTCAGCTGTAGATGAGTCAGGATTTTTAACTGAGATTAGAGTAGTATCTTTGAGAGCTGGAGAATGAAGAACTCTTTTTTATGCTCAACGGAGCAGAGTCTGATGATCAGTAATTTTTCTTTCTCTAGATTTGCTTTTTGATGTTTAGAAGATATTTCCTTTAGGACACCCGTAATATAAACTTTAAACATTGTTTATTCTGTCACCTTTGGTATTCGTATTATTGCTGATATGATCTATATAGGGATATGGCTCCTACCATAAAATATATAAAAGATCATATTGATTTGCCATGGGGGTTGGCAACCCGTTATGAGCTTTTATTTCTATCGAAAATCCTTTTGTTTACCTGTGAAGTTGATAACATTTGAGCGCTCATCCATACACTCAAATACCAACTGAAGAGGCGTTCAATTCCTTTTTGTATTGAGTTAATTTACCTATAGTCTCACAAGACTAGCTTGAGTTCTTGGAACAGCCCTTAACCAAGGATGAATTGGCCTGAAACGTTCTGAAATCCCCCAGACCATTAAATAAATGCCAAAACACAAGGCACTGGGCCCCGACTGGTTTTCCAATGTAATAATAGTTGGAACACCAGTCTGGGCTCAGTGCCTTGTTTTTTGGTATATCTTTAATGGTTTTGGGGATTTCAGACTATTAGGCTGTCAAGTTAGAACCGTATTTTGCTTGCAAATACCTACTTTTGGATTGAGCAAATTTGGGGTTTCAATTTAGATGCCAGCATGTGTCCTACATCTTTTTTAAATTATGCATCTTATAGCTCAGATTTGTCCAAATAATTTAGAACATTTATCACTCCAGTTATAAATTGATATTTTATTTTAAAAAATTGGTGACCTGCCCACTTTAAAGGGACACCGCTACTAAATATAGAGCAATCCCCACGGAAACAATCAGAATGTCCCTCAATATTAGCACTGTGCCCCAATAAATACAATTTCCTTCACTGTAGGTGGGGGGGGGGGGGAATAATAGAGAATGATGAATTGTTTGCTACAGATCATGGGAAATGGTTCTGGTAATGAACTTTTACTAAACTAGGTGACTTGTAATCAGCATGCTTCAAAAGCTTTCTGAGGGAGAGATGAGCATATGACACAAACACAGGAGTTTATATTTTAGCTGGCAACCTAGTGCTAGAAGCATAGTGCCTAGTGCCAGCACCTAGAGCTATTCATATTTACTCATGAAAACCCTGAAGCTATAACAGAAGCCTGATATAAAAAAAGATTTCTTGATGGGTGTGTGTGTGTATAATGAAAGCTGGTGCAATGTCTTAGAATAGTTAACATAATATATTCTTACTTACAGCTATGTTACATCATGAATGTGGAGGAAAGGTAACCCTTTTAGTAATGGAGGGAAATAGGGAATATCATTTTTTAATATTTGAAGTGGGGTCCGTGTGACCCAGTTTCACTTGACGAGCCACACCAGTAATAACATCATCTCCATGCTGATCCATTCCTCTGTTCCATTCCAGGTATTCCCCCTTGATAAAGATACAGAAGGGAAACATTTACGGAACGACGGACTGCAGGTACCCCAGACTATAATGTATACACTCCAGCCATTCTCGACTTTTATTTCTTTTCCCCCAAACTGTCTGTCACCTGGCATTGCCAAGAGGTTGGGCCTTATCCTGGACGGGGACTTGAAATTGTATTCTTCTGCGTACTCTTTTCATTACAAATCCTATCTACGGATTTTCTCCGACCATGTCAACCTTTTTATCATTGGGTCTTTGGAGTCTATCTGGGACTACACATACTTTTTTTTCCCCTCGCTTTATTCCAAAGCACTTAACTCCTTTATTCTCCTCTTCCACAAACTCACCTAATCAAATTGCCATCAGGGTTTTCTGCTAAACAGAGAATTGAGAAGTTAATTGCAAACTATATCCCAAAAGAGCTGACATTTTCAGATTCAGCTATTTTGACCTACAGATTGTAACTCCTTTGTCAATTCCTGATTATAAAAACCCATAGCCTCTCTCTATTGTCGTTGCCTTCTTTACTGACTTGGCACTCAGCTGCATACACAATGGATATGAAAAAAAATAAAATAAAAAAACACCTCACGTTTGCATGATAAGGCTATAAAAATTCCAAATGAGTACAGATGGTCCGCTATCTCATGATCTGATTCAATGTGATTCGCCATGACTTGTGCAAGAATTCTGATTCTTCCTCTCGTCCACACTCTGCTGTTCTTCCAGAGGACTACCAACTGCTAAAGTTAAAAATCCAAGCTGTAAATGTTCTTAATGAAACTGTATTTGGCCTCATCTACTCTTTGTAGACTATTTGGATGAACGTGGTATTTGTCTTGGAGGCTCTAGGCAATATTATACGCAGTTGTGCACGGTACATAGGCTACTAATCAGATTCTGAAGAAAAATCTTTTGTCTGGGTATGAAGAAAATTTCTATGGTACAATATGTTTTTAATTCTCGCTCTCCGTTTCTGTGGGCAGTCCACTCTCTACACTCTTTGCTACGGTGGTTGTAGACACTAATGCTTCTTATTCTTAAGGATTTTTCCTAACATAATGTTATCCTTCATTTCTCTTACTACAAGCCCTTCACCCATTAGATCAGGCATTTAACCACTATTATCGGTATCAGAGCACACCTTTACCTATTGAGCTTATTCACGTGTCACATCTTTTAATTGGTATCTTTCCTTTGGTGTCTATCCCTAATCTTCACTCTCTGCTTTCCAAGTTCAAAAAGTTTTCTGAAATGTGTTAAACTTGTTGTGGAGAGACCTGGGGTGCCTAATTTCTCTCCAATATAAAAATAAAATGAAAAACATTCAGGCTCCTGGCATGTCTGTTTGTTTGAAGCCATTTGTTAAGCAGCAGTGCAGAAGTCAGGATGATTTTTTTTTTATTTTTTTTTATTTTTTTTCAGGGTCTGAAGAATTTAGACCCTAAATGTTTTCTCTGTTTTGTATACAGGTCATTTTGAGGGTATTCTAAAATCTCTGACTAGTGCTTCCATACTATCTAACTTCCACACTATCTAACTTGCTCTGAGAGCATGAATGGGATCTGGTCAGGATTATGCTTTGGGGTGGGAGGCTAGGTTTTTGGGTTAAAATTTTGCTTTGTGCCAGTTGGGAGTTCTAAAGTGAGGTGGAAGGATATAGGTGTGCGTCTCATTGAACTGTTAAATATGTATAGGGGGTGCGTTATGAGAGGTGTGTTTTTGCAGGACTGAAGTTCAACGACTTCATAGAGATCGATTGAGTCAATGCATCACTATAAGGAAATGATGATAGATGCAAAGTGGCAGTTGCTGTGCATGCGCACTGGCCTCTGTAATGATAACTCCAGCAAGGGAAGGAGCCGTGGGGATGAATAAAATGCTTTATTGAATGAAGGGCAGGGAGGGGGCATGAATCTAAATATTTATGAAAATACTATAATGTTAGAAATACCCTTGCTTCTATAATGCTCTCAGAATGCCTTAAAAAGTGCAAAACCAGTACTCTCAGTGGCTGACCATTTATTTATTGCTTACAAAATCTGTTCTAAATAAGCAAGTATAATATGCATTAGAAATATGAAATAAAATAGTGATCCCATCTTAAATTTGCCTTTGTGTCTGTAGAATTTGCTTTGGGATTTGGAAATGTTTGATTTGAATATTTAAAAAAAAAATACAATATTTGAAAAAATATGCAAAATACCAAATTGTTCTATAGATTGTAGTCAAACCAAGAAACATTTTAAAGTGGATCTGAAACTGTCTGGGGACTTTGCATCATTTTCAAAGACACCTTTGGAGGGGGAGAGGCAAGCAAATCTGATTTAAAATAAAAATTTTTTACTTACCTGAACCATTCCCTCGAGGGAGCTGCCATCCTCTTCCTGTCGCTCCTCTTATGCTCCTTGCGCTTCAGCTGCCCGGAGCCATTGTCACTGCTGTACTCTTGAGTATGCATGTGAGTACAGTGCTAAGGTCTATGGAGAATTCCGCGAGACAGCAGGAAGAGAGCTTAATTTCTCTAGTAGTCACTGGTGATGGCTGTCGGAAATGACAACCTTGATGAAGGTAGCCACGCCCAGTGTCAGGTGGAGGAAAAATACTGAGGTAAAGTAGTTCAACTTTGTCTCATTATAGCTTATGACTGAGTAGAAATCCCAACACAGTCAATTCTATCTGTATGAAATACTCATTTAGGGATGGGGGATACAGGGCCCCTTTAATTTAATTCCTTTTAGATATGTGCTGAAGGATCAAAAGCACAACGAGGGGTGTAAATGCAAGGAATAGAGGAGGTAACAACTATATAAATCAATCTTTAATATGTCTGAGGATAGAGGCACTGCTGTCCTTGGCAATAAACAAAATCAAGAATAAAACTGATGTTTATTTAGGTTCAGCGATTTTTATATATATATATATATATATATATATATTGTGGTTAAGTGAATTTTCTCCTACGATATATATTTTCCCCTAACAGGAGTTGGCTGGGATTGGCAGGAAGAATCTTGGCACAGACTATTACTGCTTATTAGATTTTGAAAGGTATTCAACTGATAGGGTAATTATCACTGTTGGCCAAATTGCACAGGAAAGGGTTAAGGGTTAATTTGAGTAGTAGGGTGTATTAGACATGCAAGGTCAGATCAATTGCCATAGCAGAATCTGTCACTGATTTACACCATCCCATAACTTCTTACCTCATGGTCTGTGCTTTCCAGCCAAACAATCTAGAGTCACTCACATATGCAGTGGCATGAGCTTCGATATCACTTTTAGCAATATGTAATGCTGTGCAGACTTTGAACTCTGAACTCCTGCATGCTATATACAAGGCCACTTAAGAAACGCGTGTGTGTGTGTGTTTGTATATGAACTTGTTTTTATTTTTCTCTGTTTCTGCAGCTGAAGATGGTTTTTAAAAAAAAATAAAAATCTAATTTTCAGACTCAGACTGGGTACCACTGACACTCTCCGTTAACTTTCTAGCTACTAGCTCCCCACTGAAAAAAGTGAGTGGAAAAGGGATGTATCTTCACTCTCTTTTCTCAATGGTGATAGCCTCAGGATGCCTAAGACCTGCACAGGAAGTCGAGGCGCAGAGCGATTAGGCGCTGTTTTGCAGTCTTTGACTTTCATGAACGCTTTATCTCTCACACCAAAACCTCCCGGCAGTATATCATGTTCAATACAACAATGTTATGTTGTCCAGAAAGCATACAGGCACACATCGAATTCTTCTGCTCGTGTATCCTCAGTGCCTGCACTAAGATTGAGAGGGGATCAGAAAATGCAGTATTACAGGGAGTGCAGAATTATTAGGCAAGTTGTATTTTTGAGGATTAATTTTATTATTGAACAACAACCATGTTCTCAATGAACCCAAAAAACTCATTAATATCAAAGCTGAATATTTTTGGAAGTAGTTTTTAGTTTGTTTTTAGTTTTAGCTATGTTAGGGGATATCTGTGTGTGCAGGTGACTATTACTGTGCATAATTATTAGGCAACTTAACAAAAACAAATATATACCCATTTCAATTATTTATTATTACCAGTGAAACCAATATAACATCTCAACATTCACAAATATACATTTCTGACATTCAAAAACAAAACAAAAACAAATCAGTGACCAATATAGCCACCTTTCTTTGCAAGGACACTCAAAAGCCTGCCATCCATGGATTCTGTCAGTGTTTTGATCTGTTCACCATCAACATTGCGTGCAGCAGCAACCACAGCCTCCCAGACACTGTTCAGAGAGGTGTACTGTTTTCCCTCCTTGTAAATCTCACATTTGATGATGGACCACAGGTTCTCAATGGGGTTCAGATCAGGTGAACAAGGAGGCCATGTCATTAGATTTTCTTCTTTTATACCCTTTCTTGCCAGCCACGCTGTGGAGTACTTGGACGCGTGTGATGGAGCATTGTCCTGCATGAAAATCATGTTTTTCTTGAAGGATGCAGACTTCTTCCTGTACCACTGCTTGAAGAAGGTGTCTTCCAGGAACTGGCAGTAGGACTGGGAGTTGAGCTTGACTCCATCCTCAACCCGAAAAGGCCCCACAAGCTCATCTTTGATGATACCAGCCCAAACCAGTACTCCACCTCCACCTTGCTGGCGCCTGAGTCGGACTGGAGCTCTCTGCCCTTTACCAATCCAGCCACGGGCCCATCCATCTGGCCCATCAAGACTCACTCTCATTTCATCAGTCCATAAAACCTTAGAAAAATCAGTCTTGAGATATTTCTTGGCCCAGTCTTGACATTTCAGCTTGTGTGTCTTGTTCAGTGGTGGTCGTCTTTCAGCCTTTCTTACCTTGGCCATGTCTCTGAGTATTGCACACCTTGTGCTTTTGGGCACTCCAGTGATGTTGCAGCTCTGAAATATGGCCAAACTGGTGGCAAGTGGCATCGTGGCAGCTGCACGCTTGACTTTTCTCAGTTCATGGGCAGTTATTTTGCGCCTTGGTTTTTCCACACGCTTCTTGCGACCCTGTTGACTATTTTGAATGAAACGCTTGATTGTTCGATGATCACGCTTCAGAAGCTTTGCAATTTTAAGAGTGCTGCATCCCTCTGCAAGATATCTCACTATTTTTGACTTTTCTGAGCCTGTCAAGTCCTTCTTTTGACCCATTTTGCCAAAGGAAAGGAAGTTGCCTAATAATTATGCACACCTGATATAGGGTGTTGATGTCATTAGACCACACCCCTTCTCATTACAGAGATGCACATCACCTAATATGCTTAATTGGTAGTAGGCTTTCGAGCCTATACAGCTTGGAGTAAGACAACATGCATAAAGAGGATGATGTGGTCAAAATACTCATTTGCCTAATAATTCTGCACTCCCTGTATGCTAAAGAGAAGTAGTAGGTTTTAATAGAAAGCATGACACAAAATTCCTATGATTAGGGACTGAAAAGGCAAAAACAAGTTTGGAGTTCATAATTTTAATTATTTTTGCTTGGTGCCTTGTAGAAAGAGGGCTGTCTCAGAGTTCCGCAATGGCAGAATCATTATAGGCTCTGTGACGTCCTATAAAGTAAATCAATAATTGAGTACTCGATAAGATCGTGTTTGTTTTCTTACTTTACTTTTTTCTTTCTTCTTTTAATGTAGGAATCGTCCATATTGGAAGATTACCAAATTAATTGGTCTCAGAAGCTTGGTGCTGGTATCAGTGGTCCTGTAAGGTAAAGTTATTTTAGTTTTGGCTGGAAACCTGGACTTATAGGAGAATTGTTTTATTTATATTTTTGTTGTGTTTTCATTGAGGACTTTTTTTTTTTCTTTATAATTATGCCAGACTTTTTACACCAGCTTTATTCTGTAATAACCTGTGCTTATGGAAAATGAATAGTAGGATAAAGGATTAGTGATGAGCTTCACTCCCAAAATAAGGTAGAAGGCATTTTAAGACACCAGTTTTACTACTGCTAACGTAAAATCTGTAACCTGTTTAGTGGATCCAGTAAATCCACTAGTTCGCTTTTATTATGTATTAATATAGAATAATTGAGACGGCGTCCATTCTGGCCCACTATTGGCAAGTTTATCGATATGTTGTACAGCAAATTGGATTTGCTAGTTTGAATACATTTGCACTGTTTGCCCAAATATTTAAGTAGCTCACCTCAAATGGTTGTTGACTATATGGAAGACCCCATATATAGTAATTTAATTAGTTAAATTTTTTACACAAAATTCTCCTGACCATACTACAACTATCTGGGGGAAATCAAGCTGGGCACCTGACATATCCAAATAGCTCAATATTTTTGTATATGTTTAAAAAAAAAAAAAAAAAAAGTTTCTCGTCTGCTTTTATATACCATTATTTGGGTGGGGTTAAACATGATGCACCTGTGTTATTGAGTTTAGCTAGAAAGCAGTGACAAGTGAAGATGTAAGGTATCAGAAGAGTGTATGGCTTAGGTATAAGCATTTTATTTCCTGAAGGCACAATTAACATAATTATGTGTAACTATCAACATTTATCCATCTTGCATGTGGAGCGGAAGAGCTGTTTCTTGGTATAGGGAGAAATATCACTAATGCAGCTTAGTTACTGACAATATTTAAAGGATTTTAAAGTTTTTTTAAAAAAGTAACATTTGATTCATTATCGATAATGCTTTTGAATATGAGATGTGAGTGTGGCATGCAAACAAACTTGAAATAAGGCAAACTTCAAGGTTTCCCACTTTCTGATTTAGCACCCTCGTGGGTTGTATTACAGAGGCAGGAATCTTTATAAGCAGCTACAAGAAATGACAGTGGGATTAAGGGTGTTCTAAGCACCTGTTCTTTTTATGATCAGCTTCTACTGTACCTTTAAGCAAATATATCCTGTGCTCTGAATCTACTGTTACACTGTCCCAGATCATCTATTTATACCAAGAGCAAACTACTTCCTTTTCTGATACTACCCTTGATTTTGAGTGGGCCAACAATAGCACCTTGGCTGTATAATGGCCGTGTTATGGCTTTGTATCTATAATAAGATAGAAATAGAATACCATGCCATTCTCTCCGATATACACTGTATATTGGATCTGTTTGAAATTTCTACACATTTAAATGTAGTCCTTTTCCTGCTCAAGATGTAAAACTTGATTGTGTTATGGCCCACTGCAAGCTAGCAACCCAAAGTAAGAGCAATTTTTAACCCCTTAAAGACACATGACGGAAATATTCAGTCATGATTCCCTTTTATTCCAGAAGTTGTGTCCTTAAGGGGTTAAAATGTAAGATCTTAGAACTACAATAGGAGCAATATGTACAAATACATAATTAATTTTACAGTATTCACATAATGCCAGAATTGGCAATATGCACCTGGAGAGCAAAATAACAAATAATTAATCTTGAGAAAAGAGGAAAAACTTAAAGGACCACTATAGGCACCCAGACCACTTCAGCTCAATGAAGTGGTCTGGGTGCCAGGTCCTTCTAGGATTAACACTGCCTCCTGTAAACATAGCAGTTTCAGAGAAACTGCTATGTTTACCTATGGGTTAATCCAGCCTCTAGTGGCTGTCTCATTGACAGCCGCTAGAGGCGCATCCGCGCTTCTCACTGTGATTTTCAGTGAGAGAACGCCAGCGTCCATAGGAAAGCATTGAGAATGCTTTCCTATGGACTGGCTGAATATGTGCACGGCTCTTGCCGCGCATGCGCATTCAGCCGATTGACGACCGAGGGAGCCCGGCGCTGGAGAAAGGTGAGTGTTTAACCCCTTTCCTCTCCCTTCAGCCCGGCGGGAGTGGGACCTGAGGGTGGGGGCACCCTCAGGGCACTATAGTGCCAGAAAAACGAGTTTGTTTTCCTGGCACTATAGTGGTCCTTTAAGAAGAAAACCTACGTAACCAACACAGAAAAGGGATACAAAAGCCACTGTTGCACCTTTTTTTTCCCCAAAATTCACAAGAAGTCCTCAAGGGTCATTTGTGAATGCATTTTTTTTTTTTATTAAATCTTTATTTTTGTGGGTGCAGCATGATGATAACATTACCACATGTGTTCGTCATTACAACGTAAGAATAACATAGATCAAAGTAACAATTTTAACACATGGGAGCTACCCAATTTTAATTTTTGAAAACCTATTCAGCCCTCTCGCGCCCAGTCTAAGGGTAGGGGTGTCAATAATGTGTTGGGTGGCACATACATATAGTAGTAAGTGCTCGTAGGCTTAGTAGCAAGATGCTGCGTCTAGAATAGACAAAGGCACATCTGGGTGGGTAATTATCTGATACGGGACTTTCGGTATTGTGAATGCATTTTAAGGTGGAAGAGGTCTGGTAAAACCGTGTGCCATCAGTTTTGGCTCTTTTTCACTGTCTCATTAATATTGCTACTAATGACCATTCTTCACCCAGAGTCTGTATGAAAAAGACAACGCAAGAACGTTTTGCATTGAAAGTTCTTCTTGATCGTCCAAAAGCAAGAAATGAAGTGAGTATAACTGGTTGCCTGGAGTGAAATCTAACTAGGTCTAAACTATTGTGGGTGTCTTAGCTTATTTATGTTAACATTGATAATCATTTCTTCCCCAATATGCATTTCTCTCTGTGCACATCAAACAGAACTGTTTGTTGGTGATCACTCCCAGCTGAAAGAATTAATCTTATTTGTATATAAGAGATTATACAAATGGGATAATGCACTGTTAAATGAAAAATAAAACATATTATGAAAAACAGTAGGTGTGTGCACAAGTATATATTCTGTTTGTTAAAACCCTTCAGCACCTTTTTTTTTTTAAAGTTGATCTGTTATTAGCATGATGTACTTAAAGGACCACTCTAGGCACCCAGACCACTTCAGCTCAATGAAGTGGTCTGGGTGCCAGGTCCATCTAGGGTTAACCCCTGCCTCCTGTAAACATAGCAGTTTCAGAGAGAAACTGCTATGTTTACATTAGGGTTAACTCAGCCTCTAGTGGCTGTCTCTGTGAGAAGACGCTAACGTCCATAGGAAAGCATTGAGAAATTCTTTCCTATGGACTGATTGAACGCGCGCGTTCGGCGGAAGACTGAGGAGAGTCCCCGGCGCTGGAGAAAAGTAAGAATTTAACCCCTTCCTCCCCCTTCAGCCCGGCGTGAGTGGGACCCAGAGTTTGTTTTCCTGGCACTATAGTGGTCCTTTAATGCAATATTCCTTGCAGATATTTTTATTTTAAGAAGTTGTTGCATCTTTTGCAGTAATTTCCATTTCATGACCTGTCTGTTTTCAGGGTGGAGTTGGTCATCTTGGAACTGGCATGTCAGTTATGAGCATAGAGAGAAACGAGAATTGTGCCTCTAGAACCAAGCATTAGCCAAACGCCTTTATTTCATAAAACACCTATGTTTTTGGTTATTGAAAAATTCCAGCTTAATTGTAATCTTTTGTATTTTGTTTTTAGTCTATATTATTGTGCATAGACACTTTCTCCTGAGAGGGTCATGTTATCACCCAATGTACTAATGACAAAATGAATATGTTTAATTCAAATATTATTTACTTGCAACTTAAGAAAAATCTTTACAGTGGTAAAAGTATGAATAACGGTTCTAAGAGACAACTCTCTTGGTGCAGCAATCACACAAAATGTTGCTGGAGATGCTTCCATTTATAGACTTTTTGGCCAGATTTTCTTTTTATACAGAACATTCCCCCCCATGTCAGTGTTGCAGCTCTCATTCAAGCTGTAAGCTTGTGACATGGTTCCATTGGGCCAGAGTTTAGAAGCCTGAATTCCTTCAGCTCTGTTGGATTGAGATAGCGTTGTCATCCAAAAATATATATACTCTCATTTTATACCCACACTGGACATTTTAGTTGATCTCTGAGTTTGTGAGTCTTAGGGCTGCGTACACACATATAAAACCATATACTTTGTTCATGGCAGACAAGACAGGGGGACCCAGAGCAGTTGAGGAATAGGCGGAGGGAATCGATGGCGGACTGGGGGGAGGGCATCTACTCTGACCTGTGCCAACGTTCCCTATCCTGTCTGCTTTATCTAACTTCTCTCTTCTCCCTTTTATCTAACCTCTTTCTCTTACTTTCTGACTTGCACTCATTTTAAAATTCTATAGACTTTTTCCCAGGTTATAACTGGGGAGAATGTATCAATTATAAACTCTCTTGGTTGGGGTATTGCTTTTAATCTAGAGCTAGCACTTTGTAATATGTTATGTTTTTGCAATGGAGACCTGTGAGTCTTGCAATATTCTTCTTTTCTTTTATACTCTTTGACAATCTCTCTCATAAAAAAAAATATATCTAATAAACACAGATTTAAAAACAAAAAACCCATATGCTTTTGCACTGGGTCACATTTAGCACATATATCAATGATCTTGTTGTGTCTGATGGTTTTGGTTGCACATCTCACAGCCCTACTGTTTTCTGTAAGTCTGTTTATATTGTCATTTTCTGGGTTTTGTTGAAATGTAAACTACATATTTTCTAATGGGGACTTCTTGTGCTAATTTACCTGTCCTCTATCCTGTACTCTCTTTAATCACACTGATTGCTTTATCTTCAAGGTTCGACTACATATGCTGTGTTCTGCACATTCGAACATTGTGCAAATTGCAGAGGTTTATGCAAACAGTGTGCAGTTCCCCCATGAATCTACCCCAAGGTAAGGAAGGCCAGCCAAATCTACATTTGGCTATCTTGTACACTTTTATTCTTTTTTTTTTTTTGTGTGTGCCCATTTTAGAGACCGAAGAGATGTGATAGGACATTTCCCTTTTTAGGTTTGTTTGTCTTTTTAGCTTGAGAATTGGGACTGGCTGACAGTTTACACAATGTCAGTCACCAGCTACGATTAATTAGCTGAATGATGTAGTTGATCCCATAGAGATTCATTGTTTTTCATTGTTTTTTTCTGCCAATTAGTGCAAGGTGAGATTTCCAAGATCTTAATTGCATTTAAACAGCCATCTTCTGAATCCGATAATGGAAATTCTTTTTGTAATACCTCCTGTTTAGAATCTCCAGTAATTGTTGTTCTTTCTCTCAAGGCGTCTTATTGGATCCTCTTCCTAATTTTTCTCTCCAACGTATATTATAAGAATGCAGGTGTCAAAAGTGATTGATTGAACAGCCACAATGATTAGATGGATTAAAACACAATGCAAGTATAAAGGATGGAAGCACCTAAATCAATATACCTAATTTCAATCTTTTACATTTAAAGTACAATTAGCTCTATAATTTGTCATAACAGTGGACTTCACCTATGTTTGCAGCTTGTCACGAATGCCCAGTTTGGACTGGAAAGCCAGTTAGCATTTGTTATAACCTTAAGCATGCAATTGTTCCAGATTAGTACCTTATCAGACAATTTTTCCTATCTACTTTTTAAGATGGGTTTTATACATTACCAATATGAAGTAGATTATTGGATTATAATTTATTTACATAAACTAATTTGTAAACACACATTTTCAGTAGAAAAAAAAACACATATGGCTGAATAGTATTTGGGGTTGAATGCTTCATAACTGGTTATTCTATAGATCAGTGATTGTGAACGTGTATCTTACCTGTACACATCAGTCACAGCGTTACGTCTGGGAGTTATAATACAAAGTTATTTGTCAGAACTGCACATTTTCATTCATTTTTAGTTTTTTCCCATTTCTCTTTTTTTAACATTAAAATGAACTTTATCATCCCATGTTCCAAGGAAGTATATTTTAACGAAGATTTATTGATTTCCTTAACCCCTTAAGGACACGACATGTGTGACATGTCATGATTCCCTTTTATTCCAGAAGTTTGGTCATTAAGGGGTTAAAGGGAAATTATTGCTGAAAATTAATATTGCGGTGCAAATATTTCTTTAATTTGCTCTGCAGCTTTGGATAGAAAATGTGTACACATGTTGCCTGGTTAAGCGACTCTTAGCAGTTTTCTGTTATCGGTTCCTGGTCACAGTATATTTGTGCCATACCACATGCAGCTTTATTAGTTAATTAAAAGAGCAGCTGATCTCATTCCTCCTGTCAATGACCTCTGCAGACTACAGATATTTGTATGTGTGGGAGCTGGAGGGGGGTGGAGATCTGTTGGCTAGCTTCAAAATTATATCTAATCTGTGGGGTAACTAGTGCTGCAAACCATGTTTAACTAGTTAACATCTGGTGCCTAATCTTTGACTAAATATTAACCTGGCTCTGTTTCAGCAAGAGTTTCCCTTTTTGCACAATAACAGTCATGTCAATGTATATAATGTATATTGGTCTTTCAAAGCTGATCAGAATGTTTACACACTTCATTTAGCATAACATGTTACTCTATTAGATTTCAGCTATGCTCTAGTCTAGGTTATTATTGTAAGCCAAAAGCCAGTGTCATTTTACTGTGGGTGATAACCAAGTCTTTGCAGTACAGGCAGAAATCATAAGTACCAGACACAGACGTCTTATGAGTTACCATCTTTTCAGCATTACAGCACACCACTTTTGGTGGTTATGATGCTTTCTTACAGTTTGTGGTGGTTATGGTGCCTTGACGCTTCTGATGCTATCCCACTGTTACAAGTCAAACCATTTTCAAACTGTTTGGCAATTGTTCCACTGCACAGATAACACTATAGGGCAGTGGTAGGCACCGTTTGGCACTTTAGATGTTGTGGACCCATCAGGGGAGATGGAGTCCAAAACATCTGGAGGACCGAAGGTTGCATACCCCTGATATAAGGGACAATCCACTTTCACATTATCAATTTCAATACTGTCTTCATTGGCTGAGAGTACTATCTTGCACTCCTCAGCCAATTAATTCCTTCCGAACTTTTTAAAAATAGTTATATTTTATATGAATTTACGGTAATCTACTTGAAGACAAAAAGCAAAATGGGGGGAAGGAGAGTAGGGGCAGCAGGCCACTGGGAGCCACTTTTTTTCATTTTCAAACTGTTTGAATTTTAATAGTGAGATGGTGCCAGGGGTGTTTTAGTGCATTGTCACTACACTTGGCTATAGTTCCCCTTTAATTGTGAATAAGAACCTAGCTCCTTTTTTAATTTTTAATTTTTTTTTAATATTAAAAACTCCAATTTCTGTTGGATCATTGGATGTTGCTGATGTTCCAAATAGCTCTGTATCTATGCCAGTGTGCAGTAAATTGATACCCGCTGGTCATAATGTCACCTGATAAACTGATATTAGAAGAGCCGTACCTGTCCGGAAGGCAGCAAGGTGGATGCTACCACTGCTGGCGGAGAAGTGCCAGTGCTGTCAGTCTGGGCCATGACCTTCATCAAAACTGAACTAAAACGTATCCAGATCGTAAAATAATATACAAGGTCGCTCCTTGCAACGGCCAGTGTCAGCATTCACTGCATATTCACTGATATTTGACCCACTCTTTAAATTAACACTTTTGAACAGGGCACGGCTGCTAATTGTTATGGAGATGATGGAGGGGGGCGAGCTGTTTCACAGAATCAGCCAGCACCGGCACTTCACTGAGAAGCAAGCCAGCCAAGTAACAAAGCAGGCAAGTTACAGAAACACCACCAGCAGTCTTGCATTGAACAACTAAGGGTTAAAGGCATTTTAAAGGGACCTAGATTCACTTGACCTTATTGCCTGCTTTGTTATAATCTGAATATCTAGTGCACGCCACAACTCGCATAAGGTTTTTTTTTTTTTTTTTTTATGTTTGTTCCAACCATATTGCGCAACTGCATTTACCGGGGTTTCCATAACCTTGATCACTGCATGAAGGGCTTGCAATATGTTGCAGGTCGTTCTCTGGCGTGAAGGGTTTAAATCAAATTTGATTGAATACAAAAATCATTTGCAGTTAATGCTTTCCTTTCTGGTTGTTGATTTGTTTAAATGCTCATGTGATTGGATAGGTTGATTCACCTCTAAACTTAAAAATACACATTGATTTTTGAATGAACTGCTCAGACTGTTCCTGCCTCTTTTAGCGCAGATGTACAAGATTATTCAAACTGATACGATACAATGCCTGCTTCTTTAAGAAGCTAGATAATATGTATTTCATTGCCTATATTTATATCCCTGTGGTACACTAACCCACTGATGGCTTGTGCTTTGGTGTTGCAAATCCGTATGGAATTGAAAGATTAAGTATATCTGAGAAATTATATTATCAACATTAAATAGTGAGTGACAGTCATTGACAAGCAGATAAATTCATGCACTTGGCAATCACTTTATTGTTGGGAAGCAGTCAGATCTCCCATGATCCTCCCTGACAATAGAGGATGACATGTATGGCTGATAAAACTGTTTTTCTGACTTGTGTTCACTCTTGACAGATCGCCTTGGCCTTACAACATTGTCACTCACTAAATATTGCACACAGAGATCTCAAGCCAGAGAACCTGCTGTTTAAGGATAACTCATTGGTAAGGCCATTTGGAATGCTTTTAAGTGAAGGTGGTTGTTAAATGGTAATTAACTGTTTCACTGTATGTTCTGGTGTCCAGGCTTGCTTATATAGACTTCTAGACTGCTCTATTGTTGCATAGTTATCCTTGTTTAATACAATGCATTGTGTTTAGTTTATACCTATTGACATCAAGGCGTAATTTGTTTGTTTATTCTCAATTTCAGGATGCACCAGTTAAATTATGTGACTTTGGCTTTGCCAAAATAGATCAAGGTGACCTAATGACACCACAGTTTACTCCATACTATGTAGCTCCTCAGGTACGTAAACATTTAGTGAATGTCATTGTTTTGATATCTTTTGTCTGTTAAACAGATACTCCAGGCTAGTTCTAACCAATGTTTTTACACTATATAGATAATGCATTAAAGGGACAACATTGGCATGAAAACCACTCTATATATTATTGAAGTAGTTGTGTGGCATACAGCCTGTGCCTGCAGTCTGGTAATATAAAATATTGCCGATTCAGAAAAATAGCAGTTACATTTGGCCATAAACATGCCTCTAGTGGCTCTCAGACTGGCTTCATATTTTGCATTATCATCCAAAGGATGCCAAACGCTGTGAATGCTTCTTTATGTGAAGCATCTGATTGGCAGAGCACCGCAATTGCTGAGCATGTGCAGTTTGCCATCAATGTTTCTCTGAGAAGCATTGCATGGAACCGCAAATTATACACATGGTCTCAGTAGAGGAGGAGTGGCTGCTGGGAGTTATCTTTTTAATGTAGAAAGTTAATGCCTGAAATATTGCTTCCAGAAAACTTTGCATGAAAATATATTATTGGAGCAAAAAATCAACACTGCACAGTTAATAAGGAGGAGCAGAGAACACAGATTTAAAGCAAAATAATAATCAGAGCTAACTGTAACTCAACACACATATTGTTACTAGCAAGTGAGTGCCTGGAGTGCCCCTTTAAATTGATTTTTGTTATTATTGGCATTTCTATAAAGATGACATTCTGCAACGCTTTAAAATATCAGTGTTTGAGTAATACAGCATATAAGAAAATATTAAAAGTATAAACAATGTGTTATTGACAACCTTGCTTAAAAGAGCTTACAATATGGTGAATTTGTAGGCCCTCACTCTGATTAAAAGCCTGCTAACGATTTTTTTCATAAAACGAAGTGATATCTACAAAACATATGTTTACCAATTCCATAGTTTTAGTGTGCATTTTATTTTTAGATTTAAGTTTATTAGGCAGTTCAGTTAGTACTTTTGTTGGGGTGAAGAGGGTTTATTTAAAAATATATTTTAGAGGAAAGCTAGCTATTGAAGACCATAAAATACACAAAGTCTGTGTTACTAGATAAGGATATAAAAATTGCATTTTTTTAAAATTTCTTTTTAGGAATGGTGGCTAAATAGGTGAAAGGTTTTAGAGGGCCTTGAGTGACATTTTTGCAAATTCGAGGAACCAAAGTGAAAAAAGTAATGCATCATATGTCACGGGTAGAGATGTTGCGAACTTCCCGCGAACAGCTCGCCGCGGTTCGCCCCGAACCGTTCGTGGCGAGCTCCGGTCAGCTGACACATCCCGGCCAATCTCCAGCAGACCCTCCCTCCCTCCCGGGAAGTTTGCGAACGGTTTGTGACATCTCTAGTCACGGGGTGAAATGATTTATAATAAATATTATTTTTTTTTAACAATTAGAAACAATATTTTAAAAATGGTTGCAAAAAGTTAGTGTTGTGGAAATAAGGTATACACATATTTCCTAGTTAGTAAAAAAAAATGTCTATTTACTCATTTCACGATATATTACATAAGAATTATGCACATATGTTCTAATCAAGATGGCTGCTAGAAGCTTCTAACCCCTCCTCCCCCTCCCCTTAACACCGACTAACTACCTCGTGCAGCAAAATGGCGCCGAGAAAACGGGGGAGACCCTCATGGTCCCGGTGACATCACCCTTAGTAGGCAGAGCATTAGGAAGACCACTTAACACCTAACCAATTATTGATGTATTATTCCATGTTATCTCTGACAATGCTTATGATGTAATTTTGCTTTAAAAAGGGACCTGCCGTCCCCTCTGAATAAACTTTCCTCAAGTTATTCAACAACCTGGAACCTGTGTCTGGTGTGAATTACTTCAGGGAGCGTGCACGCATTGTTTCATCAATTTGGCCAGGGGCAGATACACAAAGAAATAATCAATTCATTGATTGATTTTTCCATTTCAGTTAGAAGTGACAGATATGGTTTATGGTGCCCAACTTCATTATTCACCTTCATTTAAAGGTTAAATTGAAAAGCCTTCTACTTGAAATTTCTCTTTACTGACCATCGATAATACAATTGGATAGTGTTACTTGGCTTGTATTGATGGTAGTAAATCTGTCATACAGAGATCTTTGGGGATTAATGATGTAGACCAGTCCTGGTGATCTTCAGTGCCATTGAGAAAGAAGTGTTAATCTCTAAACCTTTTTACAGGGACAGACAGTACACTTTTTTTTTCTGTCTAACTTTTTGCAAGCATTCAGTTCTGATTTAACATCTATGTATGTGGTGTGATATTTTAATTAGTTTTACTAAATGTGTATTTTCGGCTCTGGATTGCTCTCCTCCAGCGACGTCCCGCTAATGGAGCTTCTCAGTAGGAAAACATTGCATCAATGGGGAAATGTGACGACTGTGTACATCCTCTTTTCAAACTTCGTTTCAGAGTTAAACTCTCTGGAAAGTCAGAAAGAGCCTCCAGTAGCTGTTTCTAAGCATTGCAGTTTCTTTAAAAAGTTTAGAGGACAGGGGCACTTCTTCCAGGCCTGTGTTACTAGATAAGATGAAGTAGTCTGGGTACCTGTTGTATCCCTTTAAATGAACACTATAGGCAACAAAACCTGTTTTTCTTAATGAAGCAGTTTTGATGTATAAATCATGCCCTTGCAGTCTCACTGTTTACTTCTGTCATTTAGGCTTAAATCACTTTGTTTATACAGCCTTCCTAAGCACTTCCTGAAAAGTAAGCGAGATGTTTTAGGTTCCTGTATTGCACAGTCTTTTTAATGTCAAAAGTATCTACTGCTCTATTAATAGCCTCCTGTGTGTGTGTGATTAAAGTGCAATGTATAGAGAAGGAGATAAAAAAAACATCTAAAGCAAGTTCCTTTCTGACTGAAAACTTCTTACGCAAGTACCCCCTCTGATTAAAAATGAAACCATTTTTTTTCCATGCAGGCCAGGGCATGCGTGACTTTTGATTCATAAACCGTAAAAGTGATTTACGTCCTAAATGACAGAGAATTGAGCAGTGAGAAAGCACTAATACTGCTTCATTAAGCGAAGGTTGTTCTGATGCCTATAGTATCCCTTTAAGGAAAAATAACTAAGGTGAAAAATTGTCTAAGTCATATATGCTTCTAGTTTGATTCATTTGGGCTTTACATTCTGAAATCACTTTTAATTCCCACTTAAGTAAACAACGCTGTGTGTGAATGTTTAAACGGTCATAAAATCACAAATGCATGCAATTTCTCACATAAACTAATCTGAAAGACATTCACTAACTATCTTTAAAGGGAAATAAGTTTAAATTGGATGTCCTAAATTATGGTCTTGAAGAAGAAAACCATGAATAAATAGTAATTAACATATGAAGGCTTGTAATCCTGGTTATGGGTCCTCAATGTGCATGCTACTTATGGAAGCCTTCCAGGTCATAAGCACATGTACGGGATTTGATGCCAAAGACCCATTGCGCAGAGATGGCTATATGTGTTACTGCAGATAATGTTTTAAATTTCTGAAAAATCCAGCCTTTCAATATTCTATTTTGTCCACAAACTCCTGGGGTATCTGTGCTGGTTGTCACAAATTAAATATTTTATTTTTCACCTGTAATACTTTAACTTTTCTGCATAGAGCACATAAGGAATATTTTATTCTTCAAAAAGTATCCCTCCCCTCTAAGATTTTTGTACAGTTCTGTTGTTCACTGAAAGTGGTCAACAAAAGTGTTCTTTATTTCAACTTAGAACGCTTCCCCTTTGGTGACACGCTATCTAAACTGATGCTGCTATTTGTAAAGATGCATTGAAGATCACATTCCAGTACCGCAGTATAATATGTATTTGTATAGCAATTGGCATTATGTGAACCCAGATCTGGAACCTATGGAAGTAAAGTAATTTTATTTTATTTTTATTTTTTTTGTTACTGGAGTCCAGACATATACTAAATAAAGGAAAAAAGAATCAACAAAGATTCACTAAGATGCAAAAAGCAGTTTGGGTGAGACATAGAACAAAAAAAAAAAAAAAATCGACCTCCAGAACCCCCCTCAAACGCATTTTGTGCCCTTACAGCTTTTACTCAAATGACCACATATTTATCGCATGTGCCCACCTATGCTGACCTCCAGTTAATTTTCCCATGCACATGAAGAAAACAGAAAAGCAGATAACAAATTATCAAAACCTAGACCAATTTTGTTTTTTAGATTTGTGATTCTCTATCATTTGATGTAATGCAATTCACATACAAACATGCCTTTCTAATACTGATCATTCTCAAATAGTTGTTTGTTCAATGCAGTTAATGTATGCATTTTTCCGGACAGGTTTTGGAAGCACAGAGAAGACACCAAAAAGAAAAATCTGGAATTATTCCTACCTCACCGACTCCATACACTTACAACAAGGTAAACCCATGATCGCTCTGCAATTAAAGCCAGCAACTCATAAAGTGTTTGCATAATGACTCTGTAATATCAAGGTCACTAAATCATATTCCTGCATTGTGGGCAGAATGAATGTTATTACCTTTATTGGTGTTCTAATAAAATATAAAAATCTTCACCAATATCTGAAACTCTTTTCAACTTGTTCTTGGTGTAGTTGAAAATGATCCCTGCGAAGCAGCTCTTCTGTTTAACAAGGAAGGTTATGGCACTCCATGTGCCATAACCACTGCTATACTGTTGTGGTTATGATACTTAGTGTTCCTTTAAAGCAATCAGGCCTTTGTGTTGGGCATATTGACTATATCAGACGAGAACTACAAATCATTAATATTTAGAGTTGTAATGCAACATGGATACCATCCTGTAAAGTGGAGCTGAAAAAAGTTAATTTTAAACACCAATTCTCAAACCATAAATTGGGGAAGATTTCAGTCTGACACAGGAGGATGTCTCAACTGATACAAAGAATTATTTTTCTTCCCTAGATGATTTTTTTTTTTTTAAATTTAACCAGAAAACTCTGTCGAAAATAGCGTGGTAGAATTATATTACCTAGCATTTAAGGTATAAGGTTTTATATAAGAATTATACTAAAGATTCAGTTATTGAAGAATAAATTGTATTGATATGATTTTGCTTTATCAAATATCTTTTGTTTTCATCATAATTCAATATTTCCTATATCATGCGCATGATAGCCAGTATGACATTTTTTATATATATTGAATTGATTGCATCTGTATAATCTTGAGCATGTGTGTTCCCAGCATGAAAGGGTTAAATTAACATTTGCTATTTTACTGCAGATTCCAATAATACATCCATCCTGCAATAATGAATGAGGTGTCTAAAAGGAACAGAGTGTAGAAAGTATAATAATGAAGGGAATTGCTAAAGGAGAGCCCAAAATTATGAAATAGAACAGACTAAAACCAATTCTGGTGCCACTGTACTTTCAAGGTTAAGCTGATTTTGGTGTGATTAAGATCTGAAAAATAATTACACAATTTAAAATCGGGCATGGCCTGTTATCTTTCCCTTTTCATTTTAAAATGATATTTTTCATTTTACTGTCAAAGTTGCGTGTGTGTTTTTTCCATATATGTGAAATTAGAATACCCCTACCATAGTAGATAACATTTTGTGTGTATATCTGTGATTTGACACACTATAGCTAAATATAAAAAAAAATACTCTTCCGACTGATTACCTGGGCAACAACCCAGTACAAGTTTTTTTTAAATGAGACTCTGTACTTCTGAAACCATACAGTAATTGTAATATTTTTCTGTCAAGTAAATAGCATGTTTGTAACCAATAAAAATTGGTATTTGTAACCAATAAAAATTGTGTGTTTCACATGTTGCTTAGATGTTCGTGGAACCTGCGAGTTCCACAATTTCTCATTTAACTGATACAGACCTGCATACTACTCTCTTATGGATTGTGTCCTATACAAAAAAAAAACGCAGGAGGGTTCTCTTGCCGAAGTAAAGATACAACAAAAAAATACACACATCAGTTTGTAACATGGCTTTTACGTAAAGCGAGACTCTGGACAGTTTAACCACTTCATCTCATTGAAGTTGTTATGGTTCCTTCAGTCCCATGGTGCTGTTACATTGTTCTGTGTTAAACCATTTTCCAATGATATGACGCAGAATGCGAGTCCTCAAGAACCCGCAGCCCAGCCCCTCTCTGCTGCTAAGGCTGATGCTTCTGTATTAGCCTGAACACTGACTAATAGTATCAGGGGATCGTTCTTGTCAGTCGCTGCGCTCTGGTATGAATTGTTATTGCTAATCTGGAGTTATACTCCACATCAGACATACATTCTTGAGGGTGCAGAGCCGTGGTCACCTAGGAAACTCATTCAGCGTCAAACTGAGACGGCGCCAGATGACTCCAGGCACCATAACCACTTTAATTATGGTGTCTAGAAGTGCCTCTTTAAATGCCCTCTTATCTCTTCTGTCTATTGCTGCAGACTCCTTATTAAAATTATATTCTCTTAAAATTTCTAGGGGTTTTTATTTTGTACACGCAAATTCATGTCAAGTGTGTGTTTTGCAAACTAGCCATATAATTACTTCTGCTGATCTCTAGTCATGTTGATCCCCAATATGTTCATTAAGCTGTGGTTTTCCTCTCTGTCAGAGCTGTGACTTGTGGTCGCTGGGTGTAATTATCTACGTGATGCTCTGTGGTTATCCACCTTTTTACTCTAAGCACCACAGCCGAACAATCCCAAAAGATATGCGGAAGAAAATCATGACTGGAAGCTTTGAGTTTCCAGAGGAAGAATGGAGTCAGATCTCTGAAATGGCAAAAGACATTGTCAGGAAGTGAGTAAAGCTATTACTTGACTATTTTTATTTATTTAAAGGAAATTGTCCTCCATATCAACAATGAATCTAGATGTGTAGGCTGCTGAACATGAACATGGAAACATTTAGGATTCCTCTTTACAGATACGGGCAAACAGAAGCAAAGTATTGCATGTTCGAATACCAGTTCCATGCCTTACTATATGGATTGCAGTTTTATTTTGGAGCTTTTTAACAAGTTAATGACCAAACATTTTCTATAATAAACTAACGGCAGTTCCATGTCATTTATTTCTTTATAAAATATTTAAACTGGATGGATACATTGAGATTTCTCGTTTTCAAGGTCTTTGTCCACTATACATTGCATTGTTAGTGGACAATATAAATTTAATAATTTAACAGGTAATAAATATATTTAACCATGACAGGTGCATTCTGTGCTCAGGTATATTGCCATAGATCTCTTAAAAGATTTTAGATTGAATGAAGATCTGACTGAGGTTATTCTATAATTGCGGTGCTCTGTAGGAAAATGAGGATCGAGCCACTTTAATTTTGTATTGCGGTATGTTAAATATCGTGCTAGTACTGGATTGGAGGTTATAGGAGGTGGGAACAGCTGGGGAGAGCATTCTAATTAGGTAGGGTGGGTGCTTCCCAGAAATGCTCTTAAGGACAAGGCTGGAAAGATGAAGAGTGCTTTGGGATTCCAGCGACAGCCAGTTTAGCTCTTTTAACATGTTACAGTGGAGGGTAAAGTAATTACATTCTAGTATAAAGCGGCAAAACAAATTATAAAACGTATTACGTTTATTAAGGTGGGTTTGCTGTGTGGGTGCATACACTACATCTCCATAACCAATGACCGGCATTAGCATTTGTTTCTGTACAGGGCACCTAGTTTTGGGTAAAGTTTTGAAGAGTTTTTTTTCAATCTGAAGGCCAAAGGATAGATTGGGGTCTAACAACATACCTAGATATTTGAAAGCGCAAACTGCTGTCAGTGTGCTATTTGAATTTTTTCTGATACACAATTGTTGATTTTGTAGTTTACATAATTTAGGTATAGTTCCAAAGATCATTGTAACGGTTTTGTCAGTGTTTAGGAAGAGTTTGTTTTCCGCTATCCACTTTTCTACCTCTGTGAATTGGTTTTGGAGCACAGCCTCAAGCTGCGGTAGCTTGGGTTTACTAGCGTAGATTAGTGTCGTCTGCATACATGTATTGTGTTGGGGAAATCACACATTTACAACTTTTTTGTCTTCTAGTTAGAGTGCAAGTTTTGCTTTAAAATGTAGCTTTTGCAACTAACACCTGACCTGTATACCAATCTATATCTGATGGATTTATTTAGCCAATCTATATTAACTGGTTTGCACCTGCTAATTTTATCTTTGTCGTGGAATTCACATTGATTTAAGAATATGTAGATCATTTCTCAATGCCTTGACATTTTGTCAATGTTTAGCTGATTTTGTAAAAGCTGAGTTGCAAAAAAATGCATGATTAAAAAGGAGTCTTTGATTTTAGCTTGTGCTACATTTACCACTATGCAGCTTTGTGTGTGCTAACCGCTCCATTGGAATTTGTATGTGAAGCTTTTTAACCATTCTAGACTATACATTCCAGAACAAAGTGCTCTTTATGGAGGAATTAATATAGATTATTCTGGTTACCATGCTGGATACACATAATTCAGAACTTTGCTCCAGTTAATGTCTTCATAAATAAGGCCAACTGTGTTTACGTACCACTTAGAAATATAGGGAATGATGATGTCTCTCCCTCCTCTACATTACTTACGTAGTTTGAAAAGAGACATGTGCCCATAGAGTTAAGCATTTCTCACATCTGTTTTTGTTATTGATCCAAAAGAAGGCAAAAAAAAAAAAAAACCTGTTTGAAGCGCTTCCAATTTTGCAACAAACTAGGAAAAAGTTCCTTGTTGACCCCAGAATGGCAGTCAGATCTCTCCTTGGGTCAAGAAGCTGTTACCCCACAAATTAAAAAGTATATCCCTGAATATTATATTTTTGCAAGTATTCATCCAATTGCTGTTTAAAAATCTGTACAGACTCTGGGGGGAAAAAAAACACACTATTAAAAATGTTTAATGAGTGTTATGCCACCTGCATTAAAGAAATGTTTTACCGGCTAGATTTAGTCCATATCAAATTGATTGGACTTCTTTAAGGGATGCTATCTTTTTAAAGAAGCCCTAGATCTGTGAGCCTTACTATACTTATTGGCATAGGAGTAATTTGTACATGTTTGGAAGTTCTACCTTTTCTCTGGATACTATATACCTGTTTTATTTCTCGTACAGACTGCTGAAGGTGAAGCCAGAGGAGCGACTCACTATTGAAGGAGTTCTAGAACACCCTTGGCTGAACTCTACCGAAGCTCTGGATAATATCTTACCATCTGCACAGATGATGATGGACAAGGTTTTAACACGTTTTAATCTACGATCTGTGACACTACCAAGATAATAGTGAAATATACTTGCATTTCTAATTTGACTTTGATGTTTTCAGAGAGCACACATCATTTTTTATTTATTTATTTGAAACTCTGTTTTATTGGTGTCACACATTGTTCATCATTGGCGCCTGCTTGCCGGGGTACAGAATAGAAGGGTTGTGCAGGAACATTTTGTTACATATTGGGGATATACACAGTTTATGTTGTACGTTCCTTTTACTTCTTTACAGTTACTCTCTTTGCTCTCTTAACCCCCCTTAACTATGCTCCTTGCCTGTCTGTCCCTTTCCCTGTATCTGTGGTGGATCTGGTGTTTCTGCTTGTTTAGCGTGTGCTCGTTCAGCCCTTACGGGTTTCTTTCCCCGTTTTTTTTCCTCTCCCGCGTTTAGTGAGCTGTTGTTGCCTTCCCTGCCTAACTGTTATGTGTTTGCTTTTCCATATATTTGTACCAGCTCTCTCCCGCTTTCTTTGTGTTTCCTCGTCATTATGTGTTTGTCTGCCATCAACTCATATTTCCAGTTTAGGGTGATTTGGTCCAGTAGGGCCCTCCCTCTTGGGTGCCTGTGGTGTTTTCCATGCTCTAGCTATGAGCGTCCCTGCAGCTCTTAATAGGTGGAAGAGCAGTCCCTTTTCTGTTTTATGTAGTGTGGTAGGTAGCATGAATAGGATGCATTGTTTGATATTGCGTGGCCAAGGCCTGTCCAGCAAATCTCCTGCTATTGTTTCCACTTCTTTCCAGAATGGTCAGATTTTAGGACATGCCCACCATATGTGCCCCATTGAGCCCCCCTCTTGCCCACATCTCCAACATATGTTGTTTGACCCTGGATACATTGTGGCTAGTTTCTCTGGAACTAAGTACCACCTGTATTGCTGCTTTCGTAAGATCTCTCGGTGAGTGGTACATAGCGTGTTCCCTAAATGCCTCTTGCTACTCGTCTGTCTCTAGCTCGGGCCCCAGTTCTTTGTGCCATGCCTTTTGAAATGTCATGGTTGGTTCTGTTTCTAGGTCTAGGAGGGCCGTGTATATTTTAGAAAGTATTTTCTTAGGAGGTTTGCCTGATAGGCAGAGGTTTTCAACCATATGTGTGTAAGGGGTCTCTTGGTTTTGTATATTTACTCCTGTCAGTAGCGACCTTATTTGCAGATGAGAGAATATTGCCCTATTTGGTATTTTGTACATTTTTTGGAAGTCTGGAAAGGGTATCAACCCCCTGTTTTTGTATAGGTGGTTAATTGTTAGGCATCCTGCCTCCTTCCAGGGTTGGGATACCCATCGCTAAGCATGATAGCGGAGCGTCCTTATGTATTTCCAATGGGTCCCTTCCTCTCTCCCTCATGCCGTCCCAGTGTTTCAGTGTTAGGGCTGTGGTTGGTAGTGGGTGTAAGGTTTGCGAGTGTAGCGGTCTGGGAAGCCAGAACAGATCATCCAGCCTCCGTCTGCCCATCCAGTGGGCTTCTATCTGTGTCCACTGTAACGTCTCCCCATCCGCCGTGGCGGCCTTGACCACTGCCAATTGTGCTGCTTTGTAGTAGGCTCTTGTGCTTGGGAGTCTCAGTCCTCCCCTCGCCACTGGTTGTTGCAAGATTGTGGCTGCCACCCTTGGATTTTTGTTTGCCTATATAAAATGAGTGAACAGTCTCTGTAATGAGTCTAGGTAGGTTTTGGGTAATGTTATGGGTAGGGTAAGTAGCAGGTATTGGAATTTTGGGAGCAGCATCATTGTTATCACTGTTATCCTTCCCACCACAGATGGGTATTTCCCCTCCCAGGTGGTTAGTGTGGTGGCAATCTCTTTCATTAGTGTGATGTAATTTTTGTCTATTAGTTTGCCTAGGTTAGGTGGTATTTTAATTCCTAGGAATCTCAGGTGGTCGGTCCTCCAGTCAAAGGAGAATGCTGCTCTAAGTCTGTCTAATGTTTCTGTTTGTATCCCAATTCCTATAGCCTGTGTTTTCAATATGTTTAGCTTGTAGTAAGAATGTTTCCCATACTCTAGGATGGTGGTCATCAGGTTGGGCAGAGATATGTGTGGTTATGTCAACGTTAGCAGGATATCATCAGCGAAAAGGTTCGCTTTGTACTCTGTCGCCCAGCCGCAACCCATGAATTGATGTGTGTTGCCTAATGGCTGCTGCTAGTGGCTCTAGGGCCATTACGTATAACAGGGGCGATAGGGGGCATCCCTGTCTGGATCCGTTAGTGATGGTAAAGGGATCTGAGACAAATCCTGCATTTACCACTAAAGCTGATGGCGTGTTATATAAAGTGCCCTGACCGCCGAGAGGAAGCCTTACGGAGCCCCAAACTTGATGAGGACCTGTTCCAGGAACTCGCATCCCAGCCAGTCGAAGGCCTTCTCCGCTTCGAGGGATACCATCACGCATCCCATTTTCATGCGTTGGGTGCTATATATAATGTCCAATACCTTCCTAGTGTTGTCTCCTCCCTTTATAAATTTATAAATCCTGCCTGATCTGTGTGGATGATGGGAGGATGTTTCCAAGGCGTGTTGCATTGATTTTTGCATATAGCTTGGCGTCCGTGTTTAACAAGGAGATGGGGCGGAAGTTTTGTGGGCAGGTGGGTGGCTTTCCCGGTTTCGGGAGCGTGATGATGTGGGCCATTAAGGTTTCAGATGGCAGTCGCTGCAGGATCGTGGCTTTGTTAAAGGCCTTGGTTAGGTGTGGTGCTAAAATGGTATGAAACTTTTTGTAGTAGCAATTGGTGATGCTGTCTGGGCCTGGCGATTTGCCTGGTGGTAAGTTTTGGATGGCTGTCATCACCTCCTCTTGGGTGATGGTGGCAGTCAGACTTTGTTGTTGCAGTGGCGTAAGGGTGGGGAGCGGGATCGCGCGTAAGTATCGTCGTATGGCTTGTGGTTGGTGTGTTTTGAGCGTCCTTTGCAAGGTTATATAGGGAGGTGTAATAGAGCACTTTTAATACATTTTACATGTAGCCATGTAAAAAGCTGATTCTTCAGTTGGCCCTATAATAAACTAGACAGTGTTGCATTATTAAAGGACCACTATAGGCACCCAGACCACTTCAGCTTAATGAAGTGGTCTGGGTGCCAGGTCCAGCTAGGATTAACCCTTTTTTCTGTAAATTTAGCAGTTTCAGAGAAACTGCTATGTTTACAAATGGGTTAATCCAGCCTCTAGTGGCTGTCATTGGCCGACATTGACAGCCGCTGACAGCCGCTAGTGGACTTCCGTGATTCTCACTGTGATTTTCACAGTGAGAAGACGCCAGCGTCCATAGGAAAGCATTGATAATGCTTTCCTATGGACTGGCTGAATGCGCGCACGGCTCTTGCTGTGCATGCGCATTCAGCCGGTGACAGAAGAGGGAGGAGGAGGAGAGCTCCCCGCCCGGCGCTGGAGAAAAAGGTAAGTTTAACTCCTTCCACCCCCTAGAGCTTGTCGGGAGTGGGACCCTGAGGGTGGGGACACCCTCAGGGCACTATAGTGCCAGGAAAACGAATATGTTTTCCTGGCACTATAGTGGTCCTTTAATACAGGTAATGCTTTATCAATGCACATGTGGTTGAGAGTGCTACAAAACTGACTTCTATTTAATGTCTTAATCATACCTATATTCTTTTATGACAACTTTTCTTTTATTTTTATTTTTTTATGAGCATGCTTTATAAAATAACAGCAGGTTTCATTATTTAGTTGTAGTGTAATACAGTTTCTATTGCTTCATCCAGGTCATTTATTTTTCTATTCTTAGAAATAGGCCTCCTCAGTGAGGTTCAACTGTATTCCTCCTCAGCACAACAAGCAAGGGATCCATGTATATTTTTGTGTACATGTTATCAAATCAGCCCAGTTTTATCTCTGTCCAGACATGGATCCCCTGCCTACAGTTCCTAGAGAATTTTGCCTGTGCCTCACTGATGAGATCTCTGATAATCTGAAACCGATGTTTGGTGTTGCTGTATCCCTCAACCCAGCATTTGAGGTTATGGAATCACCCATGTGGAATATGCCTCTGTTAATTTCTGTGCTGTAAGAGTACTAGTTTAGCAAAAAAAAAAAATTCCTGTAGTGGTGATGATGCCCCCCTAGGCCTATCCGTGAAGCTGTCTATGCTGTGAGATTTTGTCACTATTTACACTGATGTTTAATATTGTTCTACCCCTTTCATTTCCCCTTCAAGTACACTATGTACAGAAGTGAACATTGCATACTTTGCATATACAGCTGCAGTGAGCAATAGGTTCTTATGAGATCTGGATTTGAGGTTTCTAAGTGGATTATTGACTAAACCGTCCACCTGTCTATGTTCCACGCTTTACTTTACCTGATTTTATTTTTCTCTATTTTATGCCCGCTGGCATAGAGATTTATAGCTGACATAACTTTAAATCAGGGGTGGAATTTCTATTGTCCGTGGGGCTCTGGGTAATGGGCAGGCAGATGCTTTTAGCCATGCTACAGCAGGACGTCTGCAAGGGCTGCCCAGAAGAGGTCAGGGCTAGTACAGGCCACTGTAATTGCTCCCTCACACTCCAGGCTCTTACTAATAAGTTGGGAGTGCAGGCTGGGGCTCCTAGCAGCTGCGCTCAGACTCGCTGAGCAAGAGGGAGTGATTTCTGTGGTCTGCACCTACCAGAGGTACTGACCACACTTGACCAACAGAGAATATAACCAGCAGTGGTGAACTAGAGACCATAGACCCTGTACCTGCAGAAAGCTAAGTAGAAGGGGGCTAAAACACCACACCCACTAGGGGAAGACCACAGAAGGATAGACTATGGCGGGCAGAGGGTGAGACACTGTGGGTTATTCACTAGAATCCTATACTCTCTAAATGTAGCAAATGTATTCCAAAAGAAAAAAAAAACTGAGGCAAAACATTGATTATAAATGATTGGAAAATTCTTCCAGATCAGATTTTTTTTTTTTTTTTATTCCATTTTTTCATTCATAATTAATTTGTGAAAATCGGAGCTTAGGGAATAATGATGTTAATGTCCCAGATTCAGGCATGTGCCCTAATCTGAAATTATTTTGTGTGTCAGAACAAGTAGATTGGACTTTAGTAACTTAGACAAGTAGATTTTTAAAAAAAAAATAGTTAATATAATTTAGTGCGTTCAATCTATAAGTGGGGCACTATGTATGAAGGAATTGTGTAAAAATGTCATTCCAAACTCAGTAGCTACTTTCATTTTTGTTGTATATTAAAGGACCAAATAAACGGTTATTTCTCGTTTTAGGCAGTGGTTGCTGGCATTCAACAGGCCCATGCGGAACAGCTTGCCAACATGAGAATACAAGATCTTAAAGTCAACCTGAAACCTTTGAATGTTGTCAACAATCCCATTCTGCGCAAGAGAAAACTACTAGGGTAACTTTTCCTGAGCTGGTCTTTCTTTGTTTCCAAGTGGTCTTCTTTTGCATGTGTTAGAATTTAGCATTTTTATTATATGAAATGGTAAGAAGCCGTTAGATCCATTCCATTTACAGTCATATATTCTATAGTCAGACATACTCAAAAAAATTCCCCTATTAGCTAGTATTCTCAAAGGCTTTACTCGTTCTTCAGGTGAACATGGGCTTTCAGCACGATACTGTAATACCTCTGCACCAATACTATTGGTTTCTACTATCCGCTGATCTAAACCGTTCACAATCTCTGCAAGGTTTGAGCTGCCTAGTTTAGCACACAGTGCACAGTAATGAATAACTATTTTTGTATGACCGTTGATAGTCTGTTCCAGTAGAGACCTCAGCTTTTCCTTTACAATATCACAGAATTATATTGGATTACTAATGATTAGGTAAGTACTATTTTCGTACTATTAGCGTACTTTGGATTTGTTTTGTATTTCTTAGGTCTATTGGTATTGTGCATTTACAACATTGTAATTTTATATCCACACCATTGGGACCTCCAATAGCACCAAAGCACCTTCCATAGCTGCTAGATTTAAACGGTTTAATCAAGGAACTAGTACTCGATGGGCTAAACATTGCCTATCCGATGTACTGACATGAAGGGTTTGTCTATCGTGCTGTATTGGATCCTCCTCTTCTCCTGATATTACTTATTGACTTGGGCTGAATATCATCTTGATAAGTAAGGTTATTTTTTGAGTTGGATTGTGTTCCTTAACTTTTTGGTTACAATCAATATGGAATTCCTAAAATGTTGACGTAATAAATTTTGAAGTGCAATTTATAGAGGAGTACATATTATTCTACTTATGGTGTGTACCTCCAAGCTTAAATCAGGGTTTTTTGATTTATCAAAATAAATATCTGTAAGCTGGTCCATACGGATGTATGTTTCATATAAATCAATCACAGATGTCAAAAATCATTGAACAGTCTGTGCACATGTGCAAATTTCTGTATTCACTCAGAAAAATGCACGTGTATGCTTGCTAAGAAATGAAAGCTGCCATTGTTTGTCCTTTAAACATTTCAATGGTAGTCGTGACCAAATTGTACATTTCTGCTCTTCTCCAGTCACTGGAGGTTATTTTGATTGGTTAAAATGCTGGGTATTTATAGGTTATAGGTTTTTTTTTGTAATTTAAAATAGACCTTGATTTTTCCTTTTCCTACTCGAATATCATAGGTGAATGGGAGGAACTAAAATGAGCAGACTATTATATTCCTGGAAGCTTACCTCTAGAGATCAGATAGCAGGTTTTATATATGGTGAAATTGATTAATCTAACTTTTATAGTCTAGAAGTGGAGAGGAATTTTACTATAAGATTGTAGGACACCATAAATTAACATAGAGAAAGATGAAGAATTACAATAGGAGACATTAAGATAGAGTACATCTCAGAGCTAGAGGGTAGTGCTTTTTATCCGACATTAAAGGGACACTGTACGCACCCAGACCACTTCAGCTAATTGAAATTGTCGGGGTGCTGTGACCCTTTTGCACTTAGTGCCGCAATGTTTACATTGCAGCTTGAAGTCTGTCCTCTGTGACTGTCTAACAGACAGCCACTAGAGGGCTTCCAGAATCCAAACAGACTTTTGGTCCGTTATCTGATGCTGGACGTCCTCACGGAACTCCAGCGTCAGATTTTCCCCACAGGAAAGTATTGATAAATGCTTTCCTATGGGGGTAGTCTAATGCACGTGCTCCCATTGTCGCGCATGCACATTAGGTCACTCCCGCCGGCTGTTGTCGGCGAGGGAGGAGCCTGACCCGGCATGGAGGGACATTGGTGCTGGATTCAGGTAAGTGGCTTAAGGCATTTTTTAACCCCTTAAGCCCCGAGGGAGGGGGGCACTCCGGGAGCCTATAGTTCCAGGAAAACAGGTTTGTTTTCCTGACTCTGTAGGATCCCTTTAAGAAAGCATACATTTATTTAGAAATAGTTGGGATTAAATCTGCATGTCTGTGTCTTAAATGGGTCTTCAGGATGCATAAGTGGGATAGCGGCATTGGCTACCGTACCTTCTACTTACTCAGTTATAGCTGCAAGAAATAGAAATGACTCTCAAAGACAAACTTTTAAGTAGAATATTTTAAAATAATTGGGAAATTGTAACTTTAATAATGTTGGACATAGTGATAAGATATTGCCAGGTTTTTTTTTTTGTTTTTTTTTGTAATTTTTCTTTTTTTTTGTTAAAGTGGTCTCTTATGAAGTACTTTTTTTTAACTTTTTTTTTTAACAATTTTTTTTTCTCAGAATAGATTTTTGTTGCGAAAACCTCTATAATGGCTTCCTCTCTCAATCAATCAGCCAATCAATCAAAACAACAAAAACAATAAATAAAATTCCCCATCCCAAAATGAACGGATAATTTGAATGGTTTGTTCATTAAACAGAGAGTTGTGATGAGTTGGCATCCAACATGCACATTCTAGGCTGAAATAGCATTTTTATTTTCCCATCTCTATTTTGGCTTGAATCTTGCACGTCAGGTATCAACTCCGCACAAATCACTGCTTAGTGACTAAACCCCCAAGTTTCACAAAACCTCCTCCATTTCCGAAATGCATTGAATTTTTCCCTTTGATTGCAGTACAAAGCCGAGGGATAGTGTTTACATCCAGGATCCTGAGAACGGTACTGACGACGCTAATATCGCTTTGGAAAAGCTTCGAGATGTGATTGCACAGTGTATACTACCGCAGGCCGGTAAATTCAGAGGAAGCTATCTATTGCTTGTATAGCAAAAAATTAAATAGTTTAAGAATACAGCTGCTGGTGTAGTCACATGATCACTTTCATTCACGCCAAGAGTGAAAGTCAAATTCCACTAGGTGCTCCTGTGCCACAAAAGTGAATTTTCATTAATCTACTACTGGTTGCTTTACCTATTATCACATTTGCCTTTTCAGTGTTTTATTGTATTGGTGTTTTAAAGAAATATCTGGTAATTGCTTGGGTGATTTTTGGCTGGCAGATGCTAGCGATTTCAATCCCAGCAGTGGCACTAGTCGCCTCAAGGTGAACTCTGAATTTATTTATATTAAAACAAGTATTCTTTTATATTGCTGAGAATATATTGAAGCAAATATTTAATTCATTTTTTTTCAGGCACACTGCTTATTACAACGTTTTGGTCAGTTTTTTATTTATTTATTTTTTTAATGTATAACACTATACCTTTCTTTCCTCTGCAGCAAGCTATTGAGTGGCATGAGCATAAATTTCACACAGTCACAATAGTAATCTATAATGTTTTTGTTAAACTGAAAGTACAGTTAGTTATGGAAATAGATCTGGTTCCATGTGCCATTTGGAGAAACAATTTACAGGGAATGCAGAGCTGGTTTCTCTGGAAATCAAATTTGAAAACATTTTATATTCGCTGCAGAGAGTGGTTTTGTATGTTTAATCCCAGCCAATAAGATCCCCCAGGTCACCCACTGGAAAGACACAGTAGAGTTCTGTCTTCTGAGCTCTCAGGGTTCTCTATAAAGAGGTGAGATTACATTGGTTTACATATTTTGTGCACCCCATTCAGTCGTTTACTCCATAGATGTACTTTACCATATAGAGTAATCCCATGGAACTCTTTGTTCAAGGAACACCTCTCCTGATCAACAAGTGTTTCGTTATTTATCTTGTCCAAGTCCTAATGGACGAATGTGAACTCTTTTGTTTAACAATATATGAACCAGGAATCACTGTTAGCCTTCTAATTGGTTTGAATGCATTAGGGAATAAAATCTATATATCCTCATATCTCTCTCTGTTTAACAGAAGAAAATGAAGATGAGAAGTTAAATGAGGTAATGCTTGAAGCATGGGAATTTAATAAAGACTGCAAATTATTGAGAGACGTGCTTCAAAGTTTCAGCTGGAATGGTAAGAAATAGGTCAATATACTTGTCTAATGAAATGAATAAAATCTGAAACTCCATACCATTAGGGCTCCACAAAACACATCAGTTTTAAGAAGCAGTGTAGGTACCATTAACACTAAATTCCAATATAATGGCACCATTAACACCAAGTGCCATTCCCCAATTCTTGCTCAACCTAGTTTTAAAAGATTTGACTGAACCTTATGGTTCCTGAGACACTCGCAACCTGACACCACTTGTTAGAATTCATAGGATTTAACCCACGTAGCCAATGAATGGTGTTAAAATATTGAGGAAATTCCTGCAGACCCTTGATTTAACCCCTTAAGGACCAAACTTCTGGAATAAAAGAGAATAAAGACATGTCACACGTCATGTGTCCTTAAGGGGTTAAAGGAACACTATTGGGTCAGAAACACACGTGTTTTCCTGATCCTATAGTGTTAAACTAGCTATTTACCCCCACTGGCCCCTTCTTACCCCCCCTTTAACACTAGTAAAAACTCACCTTATTTTCATCCATCCGACCCACCTCCTTGGCAGACATCAGAATTGATGATCTCGCGCAATCAAAATGTTTTCCCATAGGAAAGCATTGGATTGGCTGAGATTGTCAATTATGATGATTTCAGACAAGGAGGCAGCTTGGGGCTGAGCTAAACGACACCCTGGCCAATCAGCATCTCCTCATAGAGATTTATTTATTTATCAAATATTTTACCAGGAAGGATACATTGAGATTTCTCTAATTTTCAAGTATGCCCTGGGCCCATTGAAACAATGCATCTCTGTAGGAAAAGTGAACGTGGGCAGCACTGACAAAGGAAGGACCTTTAGTGGCTGTCTTGAGGAGTGCCCACTGGAGATGTCCCTAGGCTCTAATGTAAACACTGGCTTATTTGTGAAAAGGCAGTGTTTATATAAAAAAGCCTGGAGGGACTGACTTTACTCACAAGAACTACATGAAGCTGTAGTTGTTTTGGTGATTGTGTCCCTTTTCATTTCAACTGCTCAAAAATGGCTTGACAAAAAACTAAAGGACTGCGCCCACAGCTTACTTACATCAGAAGCATTGAAAGAGTTTGTGGTATCTAGAGATTTCCTTTAAAGTGGAATTCTTACATCTGAGATTCACGTGGATAATCTGATAACAAATACAAATGTTGGCTTTGGGAGGGGGCTGTAATCCTCCGATATCACCAAGTTCCCCTTCTGCATTAGATATATCAAGTTTGCCTGTGTTTGAATGTACTATTTTTGGTTGAGTAGTATCACTCGACTTTTTGGGTCGGACTGAGGCAGACTGCATGAGGGGATTCCAGGCAACATAACCACTGCAGTGGACTATAGTGGTTATGAAACATGGAGTGCAACTTTAACCCTACAGTGTTTAACATATGATCATGCCACTATTGAAGAAATGCCTGAGCATGCCCTCACTCATACCACATTTCTCTAATGCCTGAGTGCAGGTGTCACCCTGCTGCAGAAGTAAGTTTTTGTTGGGGTGTTTACATTTTTATTTTATCTACCTCCCCTAAGTATTGGCACGATTAGTGTTTTTAAGTCATCAGCACATACCAGAACTATTTACATTTATACAATGGGAATATGTACCAGCAAGTTATCAAAAGACAAAATAATGTCTACGCATACAAGAGATTCCTGCTTAAATGAGCTTACAATCTAGGAAATTGATGTGCAGGTTGAAATTATTTGGGTAATTTTTGAAACCAACAAAAATGCCAAAATGTTTACTGTCCACTTTCTAATAACTTTGAGCCTTATTTATTTATTTATTTATTTATTTTAGGTCGAGGATTTACTGACAAAGTTGATCGCCTCAAACTTGCAGAAATTGTAAAGCAAATTATTGAAGAACAAACAAACTCTCAAGAGGACTCTCAGTAGCTAGAGTGGTTTGCAGCCGCCCCCACTTTTTTTTTATTATTCTTTTTTTTTTTTTTTTTTAATCTTTTAAGATAAACTTATATGGTCTTAAGTGTAAAATATTTTTATGTAAATTAGCACTGAATTTCAACACTGATTGAACATACAATACAATTGTTGATATAAGTTCAAAAAAGGAAAAAAATATTGATCATTGGTACTGTAATTTTATTTAAAAACTGATTTGAAGAATTTAATATTATTTTTTTTAATTCACACTACTGTACTGTTAGCATGTACAAGCCTGGCAGGGAATACACCATAGCGTATGGTTTTGTAGAGGCCTAAAATGTGGGGTGTCTCTCTCTTTTGCCCTTACATAGCCTGGAGACTGTGTTACACATATCGGCAAATGTAAGGAAGCTGCATTACACATATCTGCAGATGTTAGCAGTCTATTTGATGCTTTCACTGGCCATTGGGGCCTGTGATGCATTGCTGAGCACCTGCTGCAGGCTCTGCTGACTGTCAAAAAAAAAGTTAATATACTTGAAAATAGGCTATGTAGAATGTAACTGATTGGTTACACTGGCAACTATTTCCTCAGGAATATTTGGAAAGAGCACACGCCTTTGATCTTGTTCACCAGCTGCTCTGATTATGTGCCAGTATTATTCTGAAGGAAATAAGACTCTGAATATTATTAATTTAAAAACCCATCTCTTTTAACCTTTTTTGTGTTTTATTTTTTTTATTATTATTATAATATAACCAGTGTTCTAAAGATCTTTACCAACCTAGTACTTGGAATTAAGGCAATTTTTAAACCAGAAAGTGTCGCTGTTTACTACTTGCGGCTGAAGACACATCTACAGCAATGCATTGCAGGCCTGTTTGTAATGTTACTTTATTTTTAAATCATTTCCTTCTTACTTTCTGCTGCAAAATCTGAGCTTTAATATTTTTTTATGCATTCTAGTTTTCTATTATCCTTTCTTTTACTCTAAACATGCATACGTGGTGTGGGTTAGTGTGCCTGAATATGCAGTTGCATACTGCAGACTAAAGTGCCAATTTTCTACAAACTATTATAGTCTTGTCAGTATGTTATGATTTCATTACACATGATGCAGTAGTTCAGGATGCCCTGCATTTTGCATAGCTGTTTTTCTGCAAGGTGTGATGCCTGTCATTCAGTATACCCCTTGGTGCAGAAAGGTATGAGTGAACTCACATTGCAGCTGTAACTCTGCTCCAACGTTTCAGTAAGTAATTCCTTGTTTGCCAATATATCAGGCTCCTCTTGCAAAGGAAGAGTTAATATCTGCTGCTTCAACATATCGCTGCTAAATCATCTTTAAAACTGTGAACTGTATGGTCATGTACAGAGTGCAGTGATTTAGTAATTTGCTGGAGTGTTCTCACTCTAAAACATAAGAGGAGATTTATAAAATGTGACTGTGGATCAAGGTGCAGAGCAGTTGCTACAGAGTCTGTTAACTACCCTGTTTTCAGAAATGTCGCCGACAATGGAACAATTTTTGTGTTAATACTTGTTTTATGTATGTATCTCTACCGTAATGTTAGATTAATTCCTTAGAGGTTTGCAATGGATTACAGTGGTTGCTTGCTCTGTAATTTCTTGTTTTACCACTATATGAGGCTATAATTGTTTAGCTGATCCCTGCTGTCACGGTGGCCTGCTCATACTGTACACAATGACGGCTGTAATGTATTTGAAAATAAGCAAAAACAGATGAGATTGAGGTCAATCAGGACTTTAAGTTACAATTCTTTAACCCATTAAGGACACATCATGATTCCCTTCTATTCCAGAAGTTTGGTCCTTAAGAGGTTAAAAATTTTGCTAACTTAATTTGTGCCAAATAACTTGAGTACCTAGTTCAGTGCGCTAGACATTAAACAATTCCCAAATAAAAGTGTACATCAAAACAGCAGCGAACCAGCAGAGCTGATGCACGGTATCTGTGTATTTCAATCTGTCATTTCATCATCATTATGTAACGACTGGTTTTTGGAATGCAAAATATTGATTTACGGTACAGCGCACACAAAAATAGGTTTTTTTTTTTTTTGTTTTGTTTTTGGGTTTTTTCCTCTCTATGGTTTTGAAGTTCAGCCATGGCTCTGTTTTTTTTGTTTTTTTTTCATTAATGGAAGGAAAATGCTTAATGAAATTAAGTGACTTATAACGAACCATCGAATGTACGATTTGCTGGCCAATCGAGCTCAGAGTCTAGCTCAGTATAGTTGACCTATGAGGAGCATCTGGCTCTATGCCACAGAAGGAGAAAAGCTAGTGTGTGGCACCCAATGGACCACAGGTAAGAAGTCAAACTGCTGCCAAACCGTTTGATTACTTACATAGAAGTACTCAAGTACACTTATGGCACTATAACTACTACATCACATTCTATTGAATTGTTCTTTTAAGCATATGTCACACGTAATGAACCTGGAATAGAAATTCTGCAAACTCCTTGGTAGCTGTGGACTCGTGCTCAGCAGTCACAATTTGACATTGGGTTTTCTGCAAGCTAGTAAAGGACTTGGATATAGTTTTTAACCCTGGTGCTCACAGCATTTGACTTTGTATTATATTGCTGCCTGACTACAAATATCACTCCTAGCAGTGACATAAAGCTGTGATTGGTTAAATCAAGGCTTAAGGAAAATTTTGTGCTAATGTATAGAATATCACCAGCACTCCGGGTTAATGCTGCACATATATGACAAATGCTCACAGCAGGGCGTTATTAGTTGTGGCTTGGTCCCAGTACAGCATTGACGACTTATAAGAAGCCAGGTTTCATAGGGAGTGTCCACACCTGATATGTAGATTACATCCGTACATTAATGATCAGATATAAAATGCTGCCTTTATTTCACTTAAAGACTCACAGGGCAAGGCTAGAAGGCCTGCATACTGGGCATCCTAGCCATGCATATCGTGCATGTTTGTTTGTATAATTGTAATGTGTAATTTCAGTTACAATTTTCACCTTCACATAGAAAGCTGTTAGTATAGTAAAATAGATGTTTCAATGCTGGTTGTTTTTTGAACAGCTTTCAATATCTGATAAACAATACATCATCCATTAGAGGACATGAGATACCTCTTTACAAAATGTGTTAAAAACAAAATAGGTACAGAGTGCACCAGAACATGCACATTTCTTAATAGTATTCATTGTCAAAATGTTTTTGTTTTGCCGTTTTTGCGTTGTCTAGTTTTCTTCTGTATTTGTTGAACTATTCTAAGCAGGTGATATCTGCCTCTGCTTTGCAGGCCTTTACCAGTACATAGGAAGTACATGCTTTTAGTTTGAATTACTGCTAATTCTGAGTTACTTCTTAGACATGACAATTATCCTAACGTTTAAAGCGATATTGAACTGAAAACCTATTAATGTGTACCTTGCAAGAGGAGCCAGAAACACACTACAAAGCTGGAAATTATATGAGCTGTTTGTGTGCTTGTTTTTCTTCACCCATACAAACTATGCCTTTTGAGGAATTTATTCTCCCATAGTGGAGTAGCATAATAAATTGCTAATTTACCTTGGACATTGCTGCCGAAGTTTGTCACTCAGATTTCCTTTTGTGTAATGCTTTTGATTTATAGTTCCTTAAGCCCACAGTATGTCTACAAGCATTAACAAGATATTTTTTAAGGTTATGTCATATTGAACTAAATTGGGGAAGTCTAACACGGAGCCTTTAGCCACTGGATGGCTATCACATTTATTATTGGAAAATAAAATTCAACAGCTGGAGCACCGATGTTGGACACCCCTAACGCTAATATACCGCTCGCCCTTTAAACATTGGACTTAACAGCATTAGTGATTGTATAAACTGTACAGTCAGAACTATGGACTAACGAAGGGTAATGTAAAATAAAAAATGTCAGACATGTAGCCTTGCATTTTATGACCGAAATAAATTTTAAAACCGGAAGATCTCCAGCTTTTGGTCGAACTACAACTCCCATATGCCTTTGCTTCTGGTTGCCTCTAGTAGTAATTTTCTGATCAAAGGGGATTCTTCCAGCTGGCTGAAATATAGTGCAATTCCATCTTTCTAGAATCCACTAAAAACATGCATGTTTTTTTTACACATTTTTAAATATACAAAGATGTTTTTTTATAGGAGAAATGCTTGTTAAAGCTAAAGCATCTCTTTAATGATTTTAATAGAAATGAGATAAGAAGCTACATAATTGAACCATCACATTTTAAAATTTAAGTTCCAAACATACCCCTGTGTAGGTTTTAGCCAATGTAAATGAGGTTCCCTGTGATACAATTTGAATAAATGAATCACATTGACTTTGAGCGGATAATGTGCAGAAGATTGTGGGTTATTGGATTCTTCCAGAGCCAACTTATGTCAGAATTTTAAAGTATACTATTTCTCTATCAATCTTATTGATCTCTTCATCTCTCTCTCTCTCTCTCTCTCTCTCTCTCTCTCTCTCTCTCGTCCTAGTAGTCGTTATGAGTGTTAAAGTATGAAAAGACTGTATAGAATGTTATTTTGTGGTAACTAAAGGTCAAATGATATATTTATGAACTAACTTAGTCTTAAATGGATATGCAGCTTACTGCATAGCAATGTTTAGTTCAAACTCCGCTAGGCTCTAGAATGCTTAAAATGTTAAAAAACAAAACAAAATTCCATTCATATCAAAATGCAATATTTCTTGAAGCTGTTATAACACCTGTTAACACCTATTCATCAAAAGTCTGTTTTAAGTATTTGTTTGACAATGAAAATTTGAAGAAGTTCATAATGGGTGAGTGCACTCAAAAACATAACATTTTTCAGACTAACAAGTTTGCTCATTTATTTAATAGTTGTGTACAAATGAAAACAATTTTTAGTGTTTTTTTTTAATCATTTTTTTTCCCCCCCCCTCAATAATTCATATTGGTGTAGTCAGTAGTGATTTCCTCCAATATAACCCTGCCCATCATCATACCTTTTTGCCATTGTTATTTCTTCAAGATCTATACACTTTGGTGACACAAATTCCGTGGAAGATTTATTCTCCCCATTTTTAATGTGCGAATTACAAATGTTTTTGAATCGTGTTTTTGTTTTCACAACTTCAGTTTTATCCACTAATGCACATGCAGGGAACCCGCCTTGTGATTAATTTGAAGAGCTGTGCAGGTCTGGACTCAAATAAAAGGGTAGTTATGATTCCCAAATAAGAAATCACTTAAAACACGAGAGTTATATGTGTGCGTTGAGAAGATTTGCTTATGTCTGCTCAAATACAAAGCAGTGCCTCTTATAGCAAACCATGCCTTTGAAATAAATTTCTGACCTTATATTAAAAATACTATAAACTTGTACATTCCGGCTTTGTCTTTTGATGAAGTTGCATTTATTTCATTGTTTTATATATCGTTTGACCTTTAGTGAATCTACTTGAACTACTTGCTGTGTGTTTTGGTGAGTTTTCTTTTTGATTATAGAATTTCAGGGGAGTTTTCGTTATGCCATCTTTGATCTTTCACATCTATCTGTACTGTACTAATCAAATTTTATTTGACTTTCAATGTTTATTGTATTATGTCCTGAACGTTTTCTGACCAGTATTATAATGTAAATATGCATCTGTGTATATAAAATGATTTTACTTATCTCGCTAATTGTGTATTCATTTATTCTTACGGCCTCGTATTTATTTAATACCACAAAAGATCTAATTCAACTTACGTTTTTTAATCTTGTGTGATCTTTTTGATATTGAGAAGGATTCAAATGGCTTTTTATTTTTTTTTATTCTTTATTTATTCGAAGACATGACATCACATCCAATATAAATGTGACAAGAAACGATTGTCACAAACAGACCATTGTACATTCACAGTAACATTAGGTATGAACAGAAAGCCAGTAGAAACAAAACCATATGAATTTCAAATATTGTAAACATTAATTGCAGTCATGACTGGAGTGTAAAGAAATCTTGTATCTATACTGGAATAGGTATCCATCTTGGTGTTTTTTATAAGAAGATAAAATATGAACTAATAATACAATTTCTAAAATGGATAGGAAAATCTCGTGGTCCATGATTGTGTCTCGTATGGGATACACATAGAACCAATTTGTAAATACATTTTCTCCCTCTTCCTATTTTAATTACGTTTGCCTTCCCAAATTATAAAGTTATGTAATGTAAACAAGAAAGAGAAAAGTAAAAGTAGAGTGGGAATAATCCCTCATAAAACGGAGAAAGTGGAAACGGTGGGGGGTGAGACAGGGGGAGCCATCTAGAGCGCCACTTTCCGAAGGTGGATAGGCTTAAAGCCTGCATCGGATTCATCCCTGGGGCAGTCTATTTGTGGACATCTCCTAGGGGGATCCTTAAAGTCCACCCATACGGGGATAGTGATGTTACTCAGCTGCTTACTGTTATCATAAGTAGGATGAGCGGTATGTGTGAGGGACTGAACCCACACTGCCTATCTCCTAATCACTCGCTGCGCTGGCCGTCCAGGGGCCCAAAGTCTTTTCAAACTTCTTGATTGTCCCTCGGACCTGGGCTGTTAATTTGTCCATAAGAAACGTATCTTTAATTTTTTTGTATCCCCACAGAGAGAGTGGGAGTCTCCCCCTGTAGCTAAGCCTGTGATAGAGCTCTTCTGGCAGCTAGATTCACTTTGTGTATGAGGTTTTGTTCAGTTTTTGCCCAATCATCATAGATCTGGCCAATAGAAACACCCACGGGTCTAGTTTGACCTCCTTTTCAAAAACGTCTTGCAGTAATGCCAAGATCCGTTTCCAATAAGTTTGCACCACTGGGCACGCCCACCACATGTGGACATAAGTACCCTTCTGGCTGCATCCTCTCCAGCATAAGACTGTTGGAATTTTATTCATCTGGCATAGTTTCACTGGCATGGTGTACCACATAAGCAAGGTCTTGTATGATTGTTCCTGCGAAGAGACACACAAAGGACGTTGCGGCAGCCTCCCATATTTCCTGCCATTCTATGCCCTCCAGTACCTCATTCAGATCCGCCTCCCATTGATCGATGTACGTGATCTCTCCCCATTATAGTGTGTTGGTGCTCAAGTGGGTGTAAAAACATGAAATCGGGCCGCTCGGGAATTGTTCTTTTATGCACATCCTTTCAAAAAAACTTAAGCTGTGTTAGTACGACTTTCTTGATCTTAGGATCTTGGGCGTAATCCCTGAGCTGAATATACCAAAAATAGGACTCTGGTTTTTAATTCCTCAAATGTTATAAATGAACAGTCTTCAAACAGATGACATAATCGCTATATTCCCGTGTTTTCAAAACCCCTAAAATGCAGAGCTTTCATTCCGGGGAAAACTGCTTTATAAAAATGCTTTATTCCTCAGGAATGGGGTCATCAGAGAAGGGGAAGATGCCAGGCTATATTTTGTAGCGGCGGCATCCCATATTTTAAGTGAATTTAGTATCACTGGGCAATCTACCTGAATATTTGGTCTGTATTCTTTAGGGATTCACATGAAAAACTGGGGCATGTCTAAACCTAAAAGAGAGGATTTTAAATCTACCCACCTTCTCTCTTCCAGGGGAGAGTGCCATAGCGCTATTTAGGCTAGTTGAGCCGCCTCATGATAAAAAAAATAAAGATTTGAAGACCCAAGCCCCCTCTGTTTTTTGCCCTGTAAAGGACATTGCGTGAAATCTTATGTTTCTTGTTCTTCCAAATGAATTTGCTGATAGCCTGTTGGAGTGCCCCCAAATTAGATTTAGTCAATCGGACCGGTAGGGCTTGGAAAAGAAACAATATCCTAGGAAGCCCCTTCATTTTCACTGAGTGGATTCTTCCTATCCAGGAAATCGGCTTATCCGCCCACTTCTCAAAGTCATTCATTAAGATTCGAATCAATGGAACATAGTTTTGTTGAAATAATTGAGGGTTCAGTCGTATGCCTAAATATATAATGTGGTCCCTCGCTAAATCGCTATAGTTTGTCAAAATGTCTCAGTGCTGCCATAGATTTCTTTGGGTCCGTTAATGTCAGCAGGATATCAGCAAAACCTGATATTACGTATTGCTGTCCTCCCACTGCAATACCCTTAATATCTGGGGCCGCGCGTATCGTTTGTAAGAGGGTCTCCAAAGAGAGATCGAACAGTAGAGGCAAAAGAGCGTATCCCTGCCTTATGCCGTTACTCAGGTAGAATGGGGTAACCTTCGCTCCCGAAATCCGAATTTGTGCGGTTATAAACTGGGCCGGTATGCAAAAGTGTTCTAGGACTTTGAATATATAAAGTCATTTGACTCTGTCGAATGCCTTCTCTGTATCCAGTGACCGTATCAAAGTCGGTGTGCCCCTGGTGGCCTGTCTCCAGCTAAGATCTATATCGATAAGATCTGTATCGTGTTCGAACAGTTGCCTATCCGTCACAAACCCCACTTGGTCTGGGTGGACCAATTGTGCAAGAATCGGGTTTAATCTACCCGCCAGGATTTTCACAAAAATTTTGGAATCGTGGTTTATTAAAAACTGAAGTTTTCAGGGGTTGAGTCATCTCGACCGGGTTTTAGCAATAGAACAATGTCTGCTAGTGACATTTCTCTATCTGGTGTCCCCTCTTCCATGAGATCGTCGAACCAAGATTCCAGGTGAGGCACAAGTTTGTCTCGAAAAATCTTATAATAGCTTTCGTCAAAGCAATCTGTACCCGGTGCTTTGTTACTTTTTAAAGTGGAAATTGCCACATCTATTTCTTTGGCCGAGATCCGTTTTGTCAAGACATTAGAGTCCGCCCCGAGAAGTTTAGGGAGAGCTAACTGGGAGAGAAATGGACGTATCCTATATAGTTCGCGTTGCGGATCTGAAGCATCACCGCTAGAGTGATTGTAGAGTTTAGTGAAGTATTCTGTGAAGACTTTAGCTATATCTGTGGGGTTCGTTTGGTACTTACCTAAAGCATTTTAAATTTTTTGAAATGTGCGTGTCCCACGGTCGAAGTGATCTCGCTAAAAGAGTATCTATTTTATTAGCTTTTTCGTAATAGGTCCATTTAGACCATACAATAGCTCTTGCGGTATCCTCTAGTAGCGTTCCTCATGTTCTGTACCATCATTAAATTTGTAGGTGTAGAATGAGATTTATGTTTTTCCTCCTTCCTTAAGGAATCCGAGAGATGACAATAGGAGAGATTTGCTTTTCTTTTTTTAGTGTAGCTTCACAAATCAATATACCCCTGATGACCGCTTTATGGGCCGCCCACACCATAGCCATCGGCAGGCCCGACTCAGTGTCTCTAGCAAAGTACTCATTCAGTTGTTTTTGAATCGTTTCGCCGGATCTTGGAGCAAAGAGGTATTCAATCTCCAAGACCAAGGGGACACCATGCATAGTTTATCCAGAGTCAGTGAAATGTCTGCATGATCTGACCATGTTATGGAACCCACCTTTGGTGGTTATTATTATTGCCATTTATATAGGGCCAACAGATTCCGTAGCGCTTTACAATATTATCAGAGGGGGGATTTAACTATAAATAGGACAATTACAAGAAAACTTACAGGAACGGTAGGTTGAAGAGGACCCTGCTCAAACGAGCTTACAGTCTATAGGAGGTGGGGTATAAGACACGTTAAGACAGGAGATATCAATCAAGTAGGGTGGGAGTGAAGCAGAGCTGGAGGAGAGGGTAAAGTGGTGCCCTATAGGAGAGAGCAAGAGACAGGTATGTAAGGTAGAGGTTACTCTGGGAGGCCATAAGCTTTCCTGAAGAGATGGGTTTTAAGGCTCTTCTTAAATGATTGAAGACTAGGGAAGTGTCTGATGGCGGTAGGCAGGCTATTCCATAGGAAAGGAGCCACCCGCGAGAGGTCCTGCAAGCGCGAGTTGGCTGTACGGGTGCGAGCAGCGGTCAGGAGGTGGTCACGGGCAGAGCGGAGGGAACGAGGAGGGGCATACCTATGGATCATTGAAGAGATATGAGGGGCTAGAATTGTTCAGTGCTTTAAATGTATGGGTTAGCACTTTGAATTGACTCCTATAGGATACAAAGAGCCAATGTAGGGACTGGCAGAGGGGTGATGTGTGAGAGGACCGACTAGAGAGGAAAATCCGTCTAACTGCAGCATTCATTACAGACTGTAGCGGGGCAATACGGCTTTTGGGGAGACCAATCAGGAGAGGGTTACAGTAATCCATGCGGGAAATTACTAGAGCATGGACAAGCTCTTTGGTCGCATCTTGCGTAAGAAAGGGGCGGATGCGCGCTATGTTTTTGAGTTGGAACCTACAGGATTTGGCAACAAACTGGATGTGAGACTCAAAGGTGAGACCAGAGTAAAGTATGACGCCAAGACAGCGTGCTTGCAGGGATGGACTTATGTGGATATCACTGACTTGAAGGGAGAGCGAGAGAAGAGGATCAGTATTAGGAGGAGGAAAGACAAGGAGTTCAGTTTTAGAGAGGTTAAGTTTCAGAAAGCGTGAGGACATCCAGTCAGAGATGGAAGAAAAGCAAATTAATGAAGTGGTCTGGGTGCCAGGTCCAGCTAGGGTTAACCCATTTTTTCATAAACATAGTAGTTTCAGAGAAACTGCTATGTTTATAAATGGGTTAAGCCTTCCCCTATTTGCTCTACTGGCTGTCTCATTGACAGCCACTAGAGGCGCTTGCGTGCTTCTCGCTGTGATTTTCACAGTGAGAGCACGCCAGCGTCCATAGGAAAGCATTCATAATGCTTTCCTATGTGACCGGCTGAATGCGCGCGCAGCCAGCCGCATGGGAGGAGAAGAGGAGGATCGGAGGAGGAGAGCTCTCCGCCCAGCGCTGGAAAAAGGTAAGTTTTAACCCCTTTCCAGAGCTGGGCGGGAGGGGGTCCCTGAGGGTGGGGGCACCCTCAGGGCACTATAGTGCCAGGAAAACGAGTATATTTTCCTGGCACTATTGTGGTCCTTTAAGGGTTAAAGAGGTATTGTGTGAGTTTAGCTATTTTAGGTGTGGAGGGTTTGGTGGACATAATTGGTTTAACAGGAAAGCTAGGTAATTTGAGCTATCTATAAATGTAGTGATGATGTGGGGGAGGGTGGGTGGGAAGCGATCATCCAGAAATGCTACCTCTGCTTATAGCAAGTCCTGCAGGGATGTGTGCTGTGAGTCCTGGGTGTAGCTGTTTCAATATTGTAAGGGGCCCAGGCTAAAAGGAGAGAATCTGGGGTTAGATAAAGCAGATTGTGGGTGGAGAATCATTGGGGTGTTAAAAACAAAATCAAGGAAAAGGCAGATGAAAGGGAATTTAAATTTAAGGATATGAGGGAATGGCAGAGAAAAGATAGGTAAAAGTCATAAATAGGGAACATCATAAATTAATGAGGCTTAGAGTGCAATAACTAACACTAGCAAAACAAACATTTAACTAAACGAGTTAAGGATGGAGGGAGCAATAGGCATCAACAAAGCAGTAATACTGTGGGGGGTGGAGAAAGAAAGAAATACAATTTAAAACAAGAAGTAGAAAAATAAGTCCAGGTATTCAAGGCGATCATCCAGAAATCCTACCTCTGCTTATTGCAAGTCCTGCAGGGATGTGTGCTGTGAGTCCTGGGTGCAACTGTTTCAATATTGTTCTGATACTTTAGGTACGGTCGGGGAATTTACTCGAATAGGTGCCATGGGAATTTATCCTCGAATAGGTGTCATGGGGAGACGAATAAAAAGTATAGTCGCTATCATCTGGATGGTGCGTTCTCCAAATATCTATAAGGCCTGTGTGTTGTATAAAGGTGTGTAATAACATATCCTGTCCGCCCCACCTATGGGACTGCAGAAGACCACTACTAGACCCCCTATCCGTCACCGGACACGGTGCCGCATTAAAGTCTCCCCCCACTATTACCATGCCATGTGGTAAAGTATTAACTATATGAGTCAACTCTGTCCAGAAATCTTTGGATGGGTCGTTAGGGGCATATAGATTGAGAATGTGAATAGTATGTGAGTACAAAGTCGTCAATACAAGTATAAAGCTCTCGCCTGGGTCTGCATGAACCTTACTAACCCTGATCGGGCATCTATGATGTATAAGGGTAGCTACTCCATTCCTCTTATTGAGGGCCCTAGATTCGTATGTAGTACTGAAGGTATGATCTTTGAGGGCAAATTTTGCCAATGCCTAAACAGAAGGCTTTTTTTGGGAGCGTTAAGGCCTTACGTTTAAAGACAATAATTTCACAGGCATTTTATGTCTAATGGGGGTATCCCGATATATAAGCGTGCTGCTATGCCTACGCTCAGACCAATCGCTCTGTCTTTTTTGTACAGGGAAAGGACATATTAGTTTCAAAGGCATCTTATTACAAATGGGGTATAGCATTCCAGATATATTCTCCCATCTCTAAGCTCATACCATTGTCTCGCTCGTGTCTGTATAGCTACAGGTCGTACATCCAATTTCCTGTGGCTGCCGACTGGGGGCTCCGTGCTCCTAGTTTCCCCCGCTCCTCCTCCCCGGAGAACATAGGTATGAGTTGAGGGAGGGGAAAAGAAGGGGACAATGAGAGTGAAAAGAAGTGAAAAAACAAAACATGTGCAACAATCGCCTGGTCTTACCGATAGCCAGGCTTAAACTGGGTGTATGCCCCAGCCGCTCCAGAACGTGTAAGAGGCTCCGGAGAAGCAGGGACCTAGACCAACATAGAAATGCACCACTCAGGTGCCAACAGAAACATCTTATGAAACATAGTATTGATTATGAGATATCCTACTAATTTTCATTACTAGGGATTATCCATCGGGATCTGCCACCAAGCCTCAGTAACCACCCATCGAACGCGCGCCCACCACCCCACCCACCCCCGCAGAGAAACACCCCTGGTCAGCGACAGCCCTACAGAGGACAAGGGCTTTGAATACACATAGGGACATATACATAGGCCCCAACCCACAGGGTAAGGTAACAATCGACCGGAGTAATCCCCAAATCTATAAGCGCTAATGCACGGAAAGGGGGGTCCCAGGGGAAGTAATCAAGGAGACTGAAACCCAAAACGGTGGGAACCCCCAAGCCCTTATCCCTCGCAGAATTCCGGCTACTCAAAGGAAGGCTACCGCATCTGCTCCGTGGGACGGGCATAAAAGGGGGCCAGGAAGAGCAGGGAGTGAGTGTAAGGGGACAGCCAATAGTGAGCAGCCCGAAGGGGCAATACGGAGGGGGGGGGGGGCCGAAGTCACCTATGTACATTTGAGTTTTACCTCGCCATGTATTGTCCCTGCTTTCGGTCGCTGAAAGTTTGAACACGGAGCATTGAAAACATATATAGCAAAACAATCTTAATAGCAGCATCCGCTGCCGCCTCCCGCATCAAATGGCTTTTTACAAGGACTATTTGTGGTTGTAGAGTAGTGATCTGTTTCAAAGTCTTGTAGACCACATTCTCTACAAATAGGATTCAAGATATCTGTTACTTTCTGTTCTCTGCAGATGCTGAAGATATAGGGGCGTGTAGAATTTTTTTGGACATTCAGAGGTAGTACATATTTTTCAGTTTGTATTTTTGACATCTCTGTAATGCCTTGCCTAAAAGAGGAGCATTTCTGAAACTGGGATTGTTCCCAGCTCTTAGTTTCTGTGAACAGTTCCAGTAAGTGGACTTTTTTATTTATTTTTTTAGCTGTTTAACTTTACACTAATTCTCTGTTACAGTAAACTGTTAATTCTGAAAACTACCTTTAAACTCAGAAGTAAGAGATGTTTAAAGAATTCTCAAAGCACCAAAACAGCTATAGCAGTTTGAATCCGTTTTGGTGTATGGGTCATGCCCGTGCAGTGTCACTGCTCAATTCTCTGCCATTTTGACGTTAAATTGCCATTATAGGCTCCATTTAATTTTGCAGCACAGTGTGTTTACTATAGACGTTTTTATCTCTGTTAATTGTTTTGGTGTCCATTTAAACCACTGCAATTTGAGCTTGAGTGGAAAACTGCACACATCCTCCACGAGTTGCTGTTTTAACAATATATCTTCCATTCATGCTCGCATCCCAGAGTTTGCCTATGTAATGTTTTCTACCATTATCTTATAAGTGTATTTCACTAAAATAAATGCAGAGGATATATATTTCTAACATATCTTTCTTGTGAAGTAAAATTTAAGTATTTTTATCATGTGTGTTTGTGGTATTAATTATAAACGATTGTAATCTTGTGGTAAGAAGAATTTTTACTTACATCATTATTAATGTCTTCACTATCGGGTTAAAAAGAATACCTTCGTTATCTAGCTAACCCATAGAATAAAACAAGCAGATACCTTTTTTGCTGCCCATGAAAAAATCCTCCAGTGTATTGTATGCTTTGATACTCTTTCCATTGCTGCTAGAATGCAACCATGAAGTTTGACATACAAAAGTTGCTGTAAAATGAGCGAGGATGAATGCCATTTGCAACCACTCAAGTGACGGGGGATGAAAACAACACTGGAGTAAAGGGAAAGGCATTATTTAGTACATTTTGTTTTTCATTTTAAATATACACATTCATGAGAGAAAGGGGTAGGAACTGTATTGTTTTTGTAATTATAGATTTTAATAGAATAAATGCTGCATTTAGAACCCATGCATTATATGTGTGCCTTAAAGTTCAAGGTGCATAAAGGAATGTGGCAGTGTATTTTAGTATATGCATATATGTAATCAATTAATTTTATTTATTTCATATTTTACTTTGAACAGCCGATAAAGGGACATTATAGTCACCTGAACAACTTCAGCTTAATGGGGTTGATCAGGTTAGTACTATAGCTCCCTGCAGGCATTTTCATGTAAACACTGTATTTTCATAGAAAAATTGTGTTTACATTAGAACTTAGGAACACCTCCAGTGGCAGTCACTCAGATGGCCACCAGAGGGACTTCCGAGTCAAGTCCTGCCTGATGCGCAGGACTCACGTTTGATGTCTTCACGCTTAACTGAAGACATCAAACGTGCTATCAGGACCCAGGAGGCACCGTGAACGCGCCTCCTGTGTCCTGTAGTAACCCAGGGCCTGTCAGCAGTTAGAGCCGATAGTGTGGAAGATAAAGATCTCCTGCACACAGTCAGCTCGAAGGCAGTAGACGGGAGACACAGCAGAAGGATCCAAACCGTAAGGCCACTTGTTTTAAAAATGAGAGACAGAGTATGTGTGTGAGTGAGTGAGAGTGAAAGTGAGTGTGTGTATGTGGGGGGAGAGTGTGTGTTATGTATGGACTGTTAGGCTGTGTGAATGATCCACTTCCTTTCTGTTGGTTCCCCACTTCCTGTTCCTGTTGGCAGTTGGTGGAATGTTCGAGGGATTTGAAACCCTGTATAACAAGGCTGCAATATGAGTAACCTGTCATATATGCAGTGGCATACATACCAGGGTCGCAGGGGTCGCGGCTGCGACCGGGCCCGGCCCACCAGGGGGCCCGGCCGCCCCTGCGACCCGGTATGTACCCACAGGGCCAGCCTCTTCTCCTGGGGGGGGCCAGGAGGCGGCCACTTCAGGCCCCCCGAGGCTGGCCCTGCTGACCCCAGCCGGTCGGGCAGGCGGGCGCACGAGGGAGCACTCAGTGCTTCCTCTTCAGCTCCCTCGCGCACCGCAGTGATGCCAGAGCCGGAAGATGACGTCATCTTCCGGCGCCGCCATCCCTATGCGGCGCGCGAGGGAGCTGAAGAGGAAGCGCTCAGGGGAAAGTGCTCCCTCGCGCGCCGGCCGCCCAGACAGCCCGCCCACCCAGTGACCTGCCGCCCAGGAGCCCAGCAGCACCACCACTGGACCCCAGGGAATCCCCCCAGCACTCCAGAAGGTAAGGAGGCTGGGGGGATTAAATAAAAAAATAAAAAAATGTGTGTTTGTGTGTTAGTGTGTGTGTGTTAGTGTTTGTTTGTGTTAGTGCGTGTGTTAGTGTGTGTGTCAGTGAGTGTGTCTGTTATTCGGTGTGTGTCTGCTAGTGAGTGTGTTACTGTGTGTCTGTTACTGAGTGTGTTTGATGTCTGTTAGTAAGTGTGTGTTTGTCAGTGAAAGTGTATGTTTTGTAAGTGAGTGTGTATGTATGTCTGTCGCTGAGTGTGTCTCTGTCAGTAAATGTGTGTGTCTGTTAGCTAGTGTGTATGCGTCTGTTCGTGAGAGTGTGTGTCTTCAGCATTTACCTTTCTCCAGCGTCGGACTCCCCAGTGTCTGCCACTCAGCTCCGAAATGCACATGCGCGGCAAGAGGCGCGCGCGCATTTAAACCGCCCATAGGAAAGCATTACTCAATGCTTTCCTATGGACGTTCAGTGTCTTCTCACTGTGATTTTCACAGTGAGAATCGCGGAAGCTCCTCTAGCAGCTGTGAATGAGACAGCCACCAGAGGCTGGATTAACCCTCAGTGAAACATAGTCGTTGCAGCTGCAGGGTTAAAACTAGAGGGACCTGGCACCCAGACCACTTCATTGAGCTGATGTGATCTGGGTGTCTGTAGTGGTCCTTTAAGTGTGTGTGCATACCGCGGTCGCGGGGTCGCAGCCCTGCAACCCCTGCGACCAGGTGCCCGCCGCCATGTGTTGCGGCCCCCGACCCGCGTGGGGGGGGGGGCCACGGATCAATTTTTGCACCGGGGCCCCATGGGTCATGTGTACGCCACTGCATATATGTATTAATAAAGTGAGTACTTCATTATACAGGAATTATTGACTGATTTGTACAAAACATCACAGAGAGTGTGTGTGTAGAACACTGCTTCCCTTAATACGATCAGTATAAGGGGTCCAAGTAGTGCTACTTTCAATGACTTTGAATTAGCACACGGACTTGCTACCGCACATATATTCTTCTTATTTGTTCACCTATTCACTTAGTAATCATACTATATCCCTGTCGGGATCAGGTCTTAATAGCCTAGCGGGACTAGCAGTAGGTGCCCTCGAAGGCACAGGAGGGAAGCTGCAAAGCACAGGGAAGCCATTAGTGGGAGTTTTTCTTCAGTACAGATCGTATTAAGGGAAGCAGTGTTCTATTTACCCGTCATCCAGTGAGCCTAGTTCTATCTACTATGACAACAGACTAGGATTTCATATCGATAGCCACAAAAGCTTCCAAGCTTGGTCATTACTTATTCAATACGGGTATACCACTCCCCTACACTAGACCTCGGGAGTGTTAACAGGGACTAATGCATGATTAGCCATGGCAAGTTCTTTCCTTTTCTACTATAATAGAAACCAACATGATTTGAGCATCTAGCATTCTGGTCTAACAGCATTACTCCCACCTTTATTTATTTATTGGCATTATAAGTCTACAGGATCAGATTGAGATACAATATTTTTAGTCCCATTGGGGATTGGCCCACTATTATTTTGCCTCTTATTTAATTTTCTTTTTTTCCTTTATCTCCCCTTCCCCCATCTTATAGTTTTTACTGTTAAACCACCTTCCTACTCTAATTAGACAGAGCCTTTTATCATGGCACAGATGTGTGCAGGATAATACATATATTGGGTTTGCTCCATAGCTGACAATGTTATTAAACCCTTACTAGTCCACGAAAAATTAATCTATTGCTACTATTTTTATTTACCAGGTGAGGCAGCCTATTTTATATATACATAGGCTAGTTACATTTTGAGATCAATTTTAGTAGCAACAGGGACATTTATGTTAATGTAACTGGTTTAATTTCTAAATACGGATTACTTTGTACATGAGTACTTATATATAGTTTCTTATTTTTATTATATTTAATACAATTAAGTTTATCATTTATTTCTAAGTTCCTAGTCTGGTAGATATTCTGCAGCTATTTGGCACTTGCATTAGAGTATACTCTATTTATCCCAGTCCCTACCGGTACACATTCTTTGATTGTTAGTTTCCTATTTGGGGCTAACCCCCCACCCCACCCCCCACCCCCCTGTCCCTCAGTGTACCAGGTATTGGCTCTACTCCAGTTCCTCTTCTTGTGTGTGTGTGTTTTTATATACCCACCCAGAATCATTTGCAGTAGTAACATCACTGCAAATTTGTGATTTCTGTGGGAAAAGCAAGTCTTATGGCTTGACCGGTGTGCAGATTTTTGTTTAACATTGTATTAACTAACTAATATATATATATATAGAGAGAGAGAGAGATAGATTGATTGATTTATTGTACACAAACTTTGGGCTGGATGGTTGCCGTATGAGGGGGTGGGCATAGACAGAGAACTGAGCTGTCAGTCAGCTCGCGAATGTGTGGTAGAGCGCTCAGTTCATTCCTAGAGCGGCATTCAATTTTTTTGTTAAATTTTTTTTTTTTTAATGGGAAACTAATATAAAAGCAAGAAATAAGGCTAGGGTCTCTGTCTTTTTTTTGCTTTTATAGTTTTGACTATAGTGCTCCTTTAATCTAGAATTTCACCACTTGGTGGTAGTGTTGGTGTAGTTATTCAATAAAGTGTAAATTGGACGTTGAAAAAAAAAGTCTTACTGTTATTTATTAAATTGAAAATTGTCTGGAATTTAAAGTAAATTTCATATTTTAGTCCAAAAGTGCTGAACTGAAGACAAAAATAGCTAGCCAACATTTCATACTTTAGTGAATAACTACCAGTAACATTGCGTAAAGCTTATTTTAGTATCACTTTGCCTACTTTTTTTTTTTTTTTAAAGTACAGAAAGAAAACCCCTATGGGGAAAAGACCTATGAGGATTGGGTTTAAGACTGCAGTAAAGATCACTATAACATGAAGAAAGATTGGTTCAAACAAGGGGATA